ATGCTGGTTTTGATCCATATCAGTGGTGGACCATTCTCCCGTATTTCGGCCCTGTTGGGTTGTCTATGGTATCCAACATTCCTAGGGTACCTCAGGTATCGAGTGGCAAGGAGTATCTACTACTGGGTTTATTTTTTCGAGGAATTCGCGATTGCCGGGTTACCCGTTACTCCCATCCATGCGCACATTATACTGCCGTTACCCAGTGTTTCCACCACCCTTCCCTGTCTTTGCCCATCGGGCGCCGGTATGGACCAACTTTCTGGTTCTGTATCTACCGTTTCCCGATTTTCAGTTCCTGAAGTGGGTGACTTTTTAGATTGTATCCTCTTTCATTCCTTAAGTGTCTTTTTTACATCGCTGTTTCCCTATAATGACTGATTTCTCTCCAGCGTTTGTGATTCGATATCGGTCCTGGAGCGCTTGGGAGATGGTCCTTTATCACACGCATCAGAGAGAGCATCATCGCTTGAGACATATGTAGGTCTCGCACCGGGTGTTGCGATGAGTCAGTAGGGACCTAGCTGCCTGGTCATGGCATAGGCGACCCGAACTGTCCGTGCTATCAACAAGTATCCTTTTTAGCCGTTTTAACTGCCAGTTCTGCTCTCCCGCTGCTTTTGAGGGTAATATGCCAATGATGTTCGCTTCCTTATGCCCCACCTATCTAGGAACCGTTAAATTCACTGGAGTCAAACGGTGGTCCGCCATCGGTTGAAAGTTCCTCCGGTACGCCATAATGTGCAGAACCAGTTTCGTGAGGGCGTCACATGTGGCCTTGGTATTCCCGGACGACATCAGAGTGACTTCTACCCATCCGTGTATCTATCTGCATATACTAGATAGTTCTTCCTCGTAAATCAAGAAGTCCGCTACAGTCTTCTGAAATGGGAACTCGGGGTTCGAGGGGCTGCATCAGGGGTTCCTTGGGTTGTGATGGAGCTTATTACGTTGCATACTTTGCACTGGGCCCGGTTTGATTTAATGCTCGCGTTCAGTCCTGGCCAAAACAGCCGCTGTTCAGCGCTTACAACATTCCATTGACGCCTGATGCGCTGAATGGAGCGATTCCAGTACCTCCGCACGTAGCTTTCTGGGTATGAGGATTTTATTTTCCATTATCGTCACCCTTCCAGCAATATAACTCCTCTTCATATGCCAAAACTGCGAATTGTCTCCGGCAGTTCGTGCGAGATCTAGGGAAGCCATTTTGTATGAATTGGGAACGCAGGCATTCCTCGTCAGTAGCAGCTGCAGCCACAATCCTGTCCCATGTTATTGCTCTTAATTTAGGGTCCTGTTCACAGGTGGAGTTAAATGGACGCCTTATGGCGCTATCCATAGTTTAAAGATGTCCTTTTAGTTTGCTTCCTCCTGGCTTAACGCCACTGGGCATCTCGATGTACAGTCTGGTGCCGCATTGAGTTTGCCAGGAGATGCTTTATTCGAAATTTGTACATCAAGGACCCCTCTTTTTTGAAGTTAAACAGTCTTGGTTTTTTATGTCCTCCAGAGCTTTGTCCGAGAAGATCTTCACCAGGGGCTTATGGTCCACGGATGACTAACAGTTTCTGGCACCCCAAAACGAACATCCGCATGCTTCCAGTCCGTAGAGACTAATGCCAATGCTTCTCCTTCCACTGGTGCATATCGACTCTAGGCCATTGGTGAATCGAGCCGGCCAGGGGATTAACTTCCAGTGGTCCTCACCACCACTTCGGTCCAGCTTCGTGGCACAGTTGCAGTGCTTCTGGAAAAAGAAAATATCCTAAGCCTGTTTTTGCTGAAGTCCGGGTCGACAAACAAGTTGGCCTATTCACTTGAAGGTTCTTACACCGTTCTCGATTTCTTCTTGTGATCCTTTTTCACTCTTCTTCAAGATTCGATCGAGAGTGTGCTGTCCCAGTAGAACTTCCATTTTTGTCTTTAGCAGCTCCCCGAACGGGCCATTACCTCGGCCTGAGAAAAAAGCGTGGGGCTACCTGGTTTACCATTCCAAACCAGGATCTTATGTCAGTTATATTTTTTGGTGTCGGGAAATTCACATATTGTTTCAGCTATTTTTCTGTGGGTTTTATCCTGCCTTCTGTTATCAAGAACCCGGCAAATTTGCACCTCTTTTTCCGCCAAGTGAAATTTCTGGGGGTTGAATATACCATTTTTTTGCTGCAGTTATTTATGTACTCTATAGTATGCCAAAATGATGATTAATAGAGTTGTCCCATAGTATCGACGTCAATACACATCTTGTTTTCCTGGTCATATCTACAGTAATATTGTCGAACCTGGCGTATATATGTCGCCTCCTGACGCTTGGAACTTTGTGGTGCCCAAGATAACGGTATCTACCCCATTCCGTGATGAAGGTAGTTGCATCTCTTGCCGATGGAGAGGGTTAGCTATGATAGCCATTCCATGCATCAAAACGGTTTTCTAGTTTTACGCAGGCACCAGCGATGCCTGATTGAAAGGAGACGGTGTATGATGGGGTTTCGTAGGGTAGCGGTGTTGAGCTTCTGCAGGTCCACCGTGACGCCTCATTGACCCGTCCTTTTCGGTGCAACCACCATTCTAGAGCACCATGTTGTAGGTGTACCCACTGGTACAGGTTCTATGATGCCCAATGCCACGCCCGGTCGAGATCCTCCTTGACTCTTTTTCTTCCAATGGTGGGACCGGATTGGGGTGTGGACAGCTGAGGGTTTGGCCCCGATGAACGTGATGTCCATGGGGTTTTCTTCCATCGCCTGCAGCCATTGATGTGGGGCATACATTGAATGCACTGACCTCAAAATGCTCCTTCATCCATCGCTCCAATCGGGGTTCGTTTTCTTCCATAGGAGCGAAAGGGATACTGTCCGCTTAGGTGGGGACATTAGTTCTTTTGTGGGCACCCACATGGTGCCTTTCCGCCGCCGCTTAGTTGCCACGTTCTGCTGGGGAAGTTGGGTCTGAAAGTTATCTGGCACCAGACCAAGGTCTTTTAGGGCCGACTCGACAGGCAGAAATCTGATGTATTTTTTTGATACATATATAATCTGGACGTGTTTTCCCCGCGATCCTACTCTGACTTTTAGCGAATATCACGCCTTTTATGTTTTTAGTAGGTTATCCGTGATTCCCGAATTCGGCATAGTCGGTACTAGACATTTGTCTGGACACTTCAGAATTTTTTTGATTTCTGGTCCGCTTAGAGCATGTCTGTGCCTCAGTGTCTGCGATCGCCGATCCGGTGAGTATGGAGGCCAGCTTGTCCTATGGATATGTGCCCGAATTCCCGCATGGGCCTCTGGAATCAGAGTTATCTCTACCATCAGGGTTGGTGCTGGATCAGAGTACCTCTTCGAACTTACTTTTGTTCCAAATCAGGTGCGGCACGGCCTTTGGTTTTGGTTGTAGGTTGATTTCACCTCTCCTTTTCACTTGTCCATCTTGGACGATCATCCGTTACGCATTCTTCTTGTGTCTTTTGGTGGTGAGAGTTCTGGATTCTGCTCGACCACCCCGCTGTAGATTTGTTGCTGGACCCCTGCTCAGTTTCCTGCAAACCCCTTTTAAATGTCCGTTTGCGCAATTGTGACAAGTCATCTTTGCTGCTGGGCAACCCTTCGCTCATTCGAGCCAGGGTGTGAGCTCTTCCCACACCATTTACAGGGTTCAGTGTCTCTCGGGTTGATACGGGTTGAGTTCTTCCCGAGGCTGCTCAAGCGTCCGATCCTGTGTGCTCGCTGTAGTAGGGGTATATTACTATGGAGATGGGTGTAGACTTGTCCGGGTCTCAGGCTGACAAGCCTGTTGAATTTTTCTTCCAGTGTCGCAAGTGTCGCAGCCTCAGACAACACCTTGCTTTGATGCTCCAGGCTTCACAGCCCAGCCACCATTTGTCCTGCTACCATATTGTTGAGTAGCTGACTTTCCGACCGCATCCTATCCTGCTCGGGATAAGCCACTGAAAAGTCGCAGAATTTTTTATGACTGATCAAGTCGTACACGAAGTCCGTAAATCGATTCCCCTTTTCTGCCTTACGGAGGGAATTTTGCCGGTACACTTTTTGTGTAGGCTTCTGACTGCCACGAAGCTTTATGTGTCGTGGAACAGCTCTTCCTCCGTGACGGAGTTTAGTACTTCTGCTCCTACCATATCGTAACAACAGCCTGTTCACTTCTGGGGCACAGGCCGCTTCTCCCTCGTTTTTTCTTAACGCTGTTGGCTCGGCCAACCTGGCTACACATCTCCTTGTATCTATTCCAGGAATCAATGAATATCGCCCAGTCACCATCACTTGAGTCCGGTTCTATATTAGGTCTGTTTCTGGGTCTCCCTGTAAGTGACTTTTTTCTTCTCCTCCGTCTCTTCTCGCAGGGGGTTTATGATCTCTGCTGTAGCTCACGATGAGCTTCATCAGTAATGTCTGCTGTGTTTGTTCGTCCATATTCCAACGTTGTTTGTTCGTCCATATTCCAACGTTGTTTGTAGCAGGTTTCTATATCGGGCGACGCCATGTAAGGTAACAGCGGGACGACGGTATATCTGCCTAGATACCGCTGTTTAAATGTCTTGTTTAAGTAGCCCACCTCGCCTCGGTAAGCGGGCGAGTCTACTTTTATGGGGGTGTGACGCCAAGACCATTCCGGTCTTGTAACTGGGCGTCTTAGGTTCGATTCCACCTCTACATAAAGAAAAATGTTCATCCCAATAGAAATTGAATATGTATTCCCTTTTACCATCATGGAAGCCGCTCCTATAACCAAAGTGTGACATTTTGCCATGACCTAATTGGTAACGGCTTGCATCAATCAACTTGTGAGATGGCTAAACTGATGCTAATTTCATTCTTTAATAAAATTAAAATAAGGATGTCAACTCAAATGTGTATCCACTAAAGATAACATTTATAGTAATAAAAAATAATGTTGGATTAAAAAAAATGGATTTAAAAATATTTTTATACTAATGTTTTCAGTTAAATACTTAGTGTATTATCTTCTTGCATTAATAGGTTAACACAACGTCGAACAGCACAATCCTTGTGTGTAATCGTATTGGAACTGGTGTAAGTATCCTTTGTATTGTTGCCTTTATATTTTACTGAATATATTGTATTTATCAGTATCAAAGGCACTATTTTTTTTCCTCACAATAATTTGCGTTGTGTCTTACAGGCCAAAAATTACATTTTTCTTTTGTTTTCCCCACCTCAACATTGTCTCAAAATTTTTGCATTCCATCTTACAGGTCAAAGGTTACTTCTTTTTTTTCTCACAAAATTGTCTCAAAATAACTTGCCTTGCATGTTACAGGCTAAAGGTTATTTTTTGTTTCTCCTCCTCACCCCCAATTGTCTCAAAATAATGCTTTGCATCTTACACGCCAAATGTTATTTTTTTTGCCCCACCAATTGTCTCAAAATTTTGCCTTGCATCTTACAGGCCAAAGCTTACTTTTTTATCTCTTTTTTTTCCTGAAATATTGTAAGTCAGAAGTGGGGTGGCTTCTTGGGGCATGGAGATACATTAATTAATTTCAGTAATTAATGCTTTTTAAAAATATTTTTATAGTTCAACACATTATATAAAAACAACACCTTACAGTAATTCTTTTCTCTACTAAGACAAATATGAAATCTCTGTCTCCAAATGAAATTCACCACAAAAATCTTGTGAAGATGCAGACAAGAAGACACTATTTTTTTTCCTCACAATAATTTGCTTTGTGTCTTACAGGCCAAAGACTACTTTTTTTTTACCCCACCACAAAATTCTCTTTTTGCATTGCTTCTTACAGACCAACAAGCTAACTTAACAGGTTCCCAAACTGCATGAATTTAAATGTGCTACTAGGTTGGCATCTCAGTCCCTCCCTTTAACTGTCGAAATAGTTAAATGTAGCCCTCTCTTCTACTTCAATAGCTTTGTCTCGCACTTCCTGTCTGTGGAACTCCCTTCCTCTTACTTGTTTCCCAGATAGCTATAATCTCCAAATATTCAAATGCAATATCAATCGACATCTCCAGATGCCTTGATCTAATTGCCCATCCTTTCACTTCATCCTTTCCTCTATCATGCCTCTTTACTCTTGCTCCCACTCTCTGTAACCTCTTGTGTGCTAGTGGCACTCCTGCCTTGCTTTAAAAAAAAAGTTACTACTTTTTTTTCTCTCGCAAAATTGTCTCAAAATAACTTGCCTTGAATTTTACAGGCCAAAGGTTATTTTTGTTTCTCCTCCTCACCCCCAATTTTTAAAAATATTTTTATAGTTTATAACATTATATAAAACATTGCCTTACAGTAATTCTTTTCGCTATTAAGACAAATATGAAATTCCAAATGGAATTCACCACAAAAATTTTATGAGGATGCAGGCAGGAATCCATACATTAAACACATTTGCAGAATATTTTAATACTATTTTCATTTTTCTAGTACAATTATTGTTTTATTTCATTGTTAGATAACCTAGTTAATGCAACAAAAACATTCCAAAAATAATTATTATTGTTGTTATTATTAGTGAAAATTTATGAATTTTATAAATTATTTACATAACAGAAAAGAATTCATATTAAATAAATGATTAGCTCTGTAATGTATTTTAATATTTATCATGAATTTTTTGTATATTTTAGAAATACTATACAGCTGTTTATTAATGTTTCTTCACTTCCTATTAGATTGTCAGCCATTATTAATTTTTCACTAGTATTTACTTTAATCTTCCTTTCTTGTTAGATGAATCCTTGTCAGCCATCATTATTAATTGTTGAGTAGTATTTACTTTCATCTTCATTTCTTATTAGATTAAACATTGTCAACTATTATAATTTAGTTCTTTTTTGTTGCAATTTTGCTTGTATCTCAACCAACAACAAAGAGCACATAGCACTGGATCATATAAAAAGGATATGTTGTCATTAAGATTTGAACTCGCATCCCTTTTACCTCATTAAATCTTGATTGAATGCATGAGTTGTTTTAACTACTAAATTTCAAGAATTTAATATTTTTGTTAAAGACTAACTCTAACCTATATTTCATCATTCCATTCCTTGACCTCACTTGGTGCCATATATTGGTTTGTTTTTTGCAATAGTTTGTATTTTTGTTTTTGCAGAGATAGCGTCATGTCCACTAAAATATCGAATAAATATACAACATATTTCACACAATAAGACTAATTATTATGTTAATTATAAACTTATTAATTTTAAGTATGATAAGCATTTTCAGCCAACAATAGCTATATAAACATTAAAATAAACCAATAAAGTGCTTACATCTTAAAATGCATCAATTAAATCATACAATACAAAACCATAGAATACAAATCAGAAAGTTTGTTTTATTAGTCATCCTGATTTAGGTAGATACTACCAAAATGTCATGTGGACATAGTAGTTTTTTTAGGGCCAATTAGGAGGAAATAAAAGCTATAATTCTGGAAAAAGGGTATAAAAATCACAAAGCCCAGTCCCAACAAAAGTAGATACACAGATGCCACCAAAGTTCACGTCACTCTAGCTGATCTTCAAGACCCCATTCATGTCCACATGCAAAAGCAACAGTGCTGACCAAACTAAAAAGAGACCCCCTCAGACTATGGCACCACAGTTCACAATAAGAACTAAATTCTATTTCTTTTTTTCCCCAGTCACTACTAAATATGCATACACATACTGAGTCTTTCACACAAATACACATATAACCACATTTCACATATGTATACACAATACAGTTTATGTTCTATCCAAGAATTCTATTAACAACTGTAATGAGTTGGTCGGTCAACTTGACACCCCCAAAGTGAGTGGAGGTGGGCAGGTGCGGGAACTGTGATTGGTAGCTGGCTTGTTGGTGTTTTGCATAGGTGAGTTACCAAGCTCTATGTAAAGGGCTGGAATGAGAAGGAGGGCAGTTTTTTTCAGTCTCAGAAGTGGAGACTGTGTCCGTCGCTACAACAGCAGGAGAGAAAGAGACGAAATCGTTTATTTTTTCATGACACATTCCAACACAAGCTATTTCGGCATTTACTTTGTCTCTAGCAAGATGGCGGAAAGACCGTTTGACATAAAACTGATCTATGAATTCAGTGGTGATATGAGTGGACAGTCTGTGGTTGAATGGATCGAAAAGGTGGAACTGGTCTGCGAATTATGCGAGATCATGAAGATTGAACGGATTCTTCCACTGTGATTGAAAAACGGTGGCCTTGCTGTCTATAGGCAGCTGAGGAAAGAACAGAAAAGTGACATTGAGCAAATAAAGCACGCTCTACTAACCGCGTTTGGAACTGACTGGTTTGTGGCCTATGACCAATTCCAGGCACGGCGTCTACAACCTGGCGAGACAGTAGACGTATATTTGGCGGAATTAAAGAAGCTTGCCATACTGATCGCACCGCTTCCTGAAGAATGGATGACATGTGCCTTTGTGTCTGGATTACCTAGTCATGTTAAGCAGATACTCCATGCATCATCCAGAATGGAAGACATGACGCTCAATCAATTGTTGACCAGAGCCTGTGCTATCATGATCGATGAAAAAGAGGCTGATGAACCAGTGGCCACAGTCGTTCAGCCAATTGAAGTCAAAGAGGATCCAACCCAGCCATCTGTCGCCATGGCGATGTCACCTGCTATCGGTTGCTCTGGGCGAATCATTTTGCCAAAGACTGCCGCTATCAACGCAGCAATGCGCAGCGGGTCGGCTTAAAAGGCACGCTTTCGATCTCGATGTTTCCAATGTCATGAAGTAGGTCACATTGCCTCTAAGTGTCCGGGAAATAGAATGGGGGATGCGACGTCAGCCAGTCTCTTCTCCGCAACGAGCATGAAAGAGGCGCTCCCTGTGATTAAGGTGTGCATCAATGGAATAACACGTACCGCTTTAGTAGATTCGGGCTGCTCTCGGTCACTCACGAACGGTTTGATTTGTCGACAGTGGAGCAGACAAAAGATGGACGTACTAACGGCTGTTGGAAACATCAAACTCACTATCAACAACGGTAACCCCGTTACAGTCAGCGTGTTGGTCATGAACAGCGCGTTATTAGGTTTTGATCTGCTCCTTGGGATGGACATTATTAAGGAGCTGGGCGGTGTACGCATCACAGAGTCGGGCGAAGTCGAGTTTTCTGATCCGCCCATCTGTGCTGCCTTGAGGATCAACGAACCTGACTTCAGTGCAACTTTCGACCAGCGCAGACGCGTATGGACCGCAAAGTGGGCGGATGGACGAACGCCCACGCCACTGAAAAATAAAATAACTGAGTACCCGGTTCCAGAGCATATCAGGAGCGAATACGAAAATGAATTGCAGCTTTGGATAGCAAACGGCTGGCTTGTGCCGTACCCTGAGGAGGAGTTAGGGCCGCCTCGAGGACTGATTCCATTGATGGCAATAGTGCAAGAGAATAAGGGGAAAGTGAAACTGGTCATGGACTACAGGAAATTGAATACCTTTGTAGATGCATATACGGCCAACGCGGACGTTTGTGCCCAGAAATTGCGGGAATGGCGACAGCAAGGGAACAATGTGGCCACCTTCAATTTAAGAAGGGCCTACCTCCAAGTCCGAGTCCACCGATCACTCTGGCCCTTTCAGACTGTCATGGTAAAAGGACAGAGATATTACCTCACTCGATTGGGATTTGGTCTTAATGTGGCTCCAAAAATCATGTCAGCGATTATGAATGTGGTCATGTCGCAGGATGAGGAAATTCGAAGGGCAATGTCATCCTACATTGACAATGTTTACATCAATGAAAATGTGGCCTCTTCAATGAGGGTTAAGGAATATCTGGAGTGCTTTGGCTTGGTGTGCAAGGCCCCAGAGCCGCTACAGGATGGAGCGAATGTACTTGGACTACACGTCAGTAGTGATGGAGAAAAACTTCGCTGGAGACGAGGTAGTGACATCCCTGAAGTCCCGCCAGTGATCACTCATCGGAGTACCTTCTCCATGTGTGGGAAACTGGTAGGCCATTTTCCTGTCTGCGGTTGGCTCAGAGTGGCGGCAACAGCCATAAAGTGCCGCGTAGAATTCTGTTTCACAGGATGGGATGATGAGGTGCACGACGTTACCCTAAGATGCATGATAACTGAAACTATGGAGAGAGTGATGCAAGATGATCCCGTGCGAGGTGACTGGTGCATTAAGGGGAACGAGCTCACCGTTTGGGTGGATGCCAGCTCGTTGGCCATGGGTGTCGCCCTTGAGGATAACAGGTCCATCATAGAAGATGCCAGCTGGTTACGACCTGAAAATGATGCACGACACATAAACCTGGCTGAACTAGATGCCACTTTGAAGGGGGTTAACCTGGCGCTCCAATGGCAAGCAACAGTGCTACACATCGTCATGGACTCAGCATGCACTCAGCGTTGGATATCAGATGCACTTAGCGGAAGAGCGCGACTGACCACCAAGGCATCTAGCGAGATGTTGATACGAAGGCGGCTCACCACGCTGATTGAAATTATCAAAGAGTACAACCTGTCTGTGGATGTAGTGTTAGTTAAATCGGCAGTCAACAGAGCAGATGCATTGACTCGCGTTCCGCAACGTTGGTTGGCTGCTTCTCGGAAAGAGTCTGAACCTCTGCAGCTGCCGTGTACGGCTTCTGCGCTCAGTATGGACCTCAAGTGGATCATGAGCATACATGAACAGTGTGGGCATCCTGGGATTAAACAGACGCTCTACTTCTCGAAGATGGTCGACTCGGCAGTCAAAAAGACAGATGTTAGGACAGTAGTGCAGAGGTGCGAGGCGTGCCAGTCAATTTACCCAGCACTGGTGCAATGGCAAAAAGGAAACTTGAGTACTACCCATGTTTGGAACAGGCTGGGGATAGATGTTACACATGTTGGCAGCCAGCACTATTTGACTATTATTGACTGTGGACCCTCTCGCTTTGCCATTTGGCAACTACTGCACCGGCAGGACACTGCCAGCATAATACATCAATTGGAGTCCATCTTTTATGACCGGGGGCCACCTGCAGAAATATTGACAGATAATGGTGCAGCATTTTCTTCAGAGCAATTCTCACAGTTCTTAAAGAAGTGGGGTGTGCGGCTTCAGTTCCGGTGCGCCTACATGCTGGCGGGAAACGGCATAGTAGAAAGGAGCCACCGGTCTATAAAAGTGATTGTAGCCAGGAAGCGATGTTCGATCCCTGAAGCAGTCTATTGGTATAACACGACGCCTAAAGACGGTGTTTCACCTACAACAGCACCAGCTAACATGGTGAACGCCTATCACTTACAGCTGCGAGGCATTGACATTGCAATGGCTCCGAGCGACGCGCAAGCTAAATACAGAATTGGTGACGTAGTGTGGGTTAAGACCCCGCACAGCAAGTGTACGGACAAGCTTAGAATGGGGCATGTTACCAGCTATGTTAGCATTATCAGCCCGCAGTCAGTGCAGGTTGATGGCGTGCCTCATCATGTTAAAGACTTGCGGCCAGTTGTAGGGTTAAAACCATCATCAGATGATGAAAGTGACTCTGAAGATGGTGCACGAGTGGTGTATTTAAAGTCGGATCCACTGAGTTCTACCTCAAACATCAGTACTCTACCTACGGACGTCAAAGTGGCCAGCTGTCCAAAGGCGGATGGTAGCTCAATGGATGAGAGTTCATCCGAGGATGAAGACCCTGTCATCCCGCTCAGAAGGAGTGCCCAGCAGAAGAGGCCTGCCCCGAGTTGCACAGTGTGCGATCATGACAGCGAGACACGGGATGAATCTGGAAATCTGCCACCCCGGAGCAAACGAATTCGCGCATGTGTGGTTATCCCAATATGTCAAGCAGACGCAGTCAGCACACAGATGCAACCATCTCTCAAACTGAAAAGCTTTGTGATCTTAAGATCAGGGGGGCATGTAATGAGTTGGTTGGTCAACTTGACACCCCCAAAGCGAGTGGAGGTGGGCAGGCGCAGGAACTGTGATTGGTAGCTGGCTTGTTGGTGTTTTGCATAGGTGAGTTACCAAGCTCTATGTAAAGGGCTGGAATGAGAAGGAGGGCAGTTTTTTTCAGTCTTAGAAGTGGAGACTGTGTCCATCGCTACGACAGCAAGAGAGAAAGAGACGAAATCATTTATTTTTTCGTAACACATTCCAACACAACAACCAAACAAAAAAAAGACATTACTCATTCAACACATTCAACTAACTTGTTGTATTCTTGTCATTACATAAATATTATTTGTTGATTCTACATTGTCTTTTCCTACTGGATTTTATTCTTTCAATAAAAGTCATTGGTTTATTCTAAACAGCTGAATTACAAGCAGCCCACAACAATATTTTATGTTATTTTATTGAATCCTGACACTCTGAATTTTGACATTTAACAAAAACATTAGTAGAAGTCTTCCTACAAATGGTGACCTTAACATGATTACCTTGTGAAACACCAAAGTTAACAAACAGAACACACAAATATACATACCATAAAAACAAAAAAAAGAAAAACACGCAAGTTTCAGTGACAACAGTCACTCTGAATTTACCTGCATATAACCCCAACAACATAGTCATGGTTTATACAAATGAAGGCCATATTCAACATGAAGAATATTGTTTCACAAAGAGCTCAGTATTGCTATTTAGTGAAAAAACTCCCAACAAATTGAAAAGTCATTTTTAAACAAACCGAAATTTCAAACTAGGCAATGTTATGTGACTTATTTATCTGAGTGGGACTAAGTTATCAGAGCTTGTAGTTCTGCAATATTTTATGTTATTGCATCGAATACTGACACTCCAAATTTTGATGTTTAACAAAAACCTGAGTAGAAGGATCCCTACAGTAGTATTAGGAGTATTAGCATTAATTTTTGTTAGATGAAACACTGTCAGCCATTATTAATTTTTGACTTCTTATTGCTATAGATTGATGGCATGGGTAAAGTTATGAAAAAATAAAGCAATTAAGAAGTTAAGATGGAAGTAAATATGGGTCAAAATTAATAATTATGATTGATAACACTTCAGTAATTGAATATTAAAATAAATCTATGTGCCATGTTCCTTCAGAACTTGTACGATCATGGATCTACGCAACTTCCTGTCCGTTGTAGCTTTTTGCAAGTTTTTTTAACCATTTCACACGAAGCAAGGTGATAATACCACTAAGGTGCAAGGGGCTACTGGAAGTGAAAAAGAAGGAAAAGACTTTTGAATGAACAAGAAATCCAGTAAAAGTTTAAATTTCAGAGTTTAGGCAGAGATGTTAGAAGTAGACTTTAGAAAGATCCAGAAACACAATCCTAAACATGAAACAATGGATAAACCTCTACTGATGTTCAAAAGACCAAGGAATGTGTTTTTGCTATCTTCTAATCCTAATCTCTGTTCTGCCATCCATTTACACAAACTTATTAAATAGGTTATTCACTGCTTTCCTCCATCCCTCTTGCCTTCAATATGTCCTGTGAGTGTCAAATTCTGCTAACCCTCTTTCTTCATTAGGTGCCTTAGAAATTTCAATGAATTTCTGATTCTATAAGCATTTTTTTATTTCCATTTTCTCTAAAACTTCATCGTTGCTCACATGTTCAGTCCATGGTATTGTCAGCATCCTTCTGTAGAAATACATTTCTATTGTCTCAAGTCTCTTAATGTGTGAGGAACTTGTCCAGTATTCACTGCCATATAGGAGGGTTGATATTACACAACAGTTTGGACTTTTTTCTTTGTTTCTGACAACTGCTAAAAGACCTTAAGTTGAGATAGGAATTTAAACAATATAATAATGTATATAAGTGTTATGCCTCTCATTATTCTCAACATTAATTATTGTTTTGTTTCTTTCAGGCTATTTTACTAGCAGACATTCTGCCAGCATTTCTTATTAAATTGTCTGCACCACTTTACATCCAAAGATTATCATACAAGTAAGAATATTTCTATTTATTTTTATGAATGTATGCATATGCAATGATTCTAGAGTCAGTGGTTACCAATATAATAGAGAGATAAACACATCAAAGATTATCAAAAGAATAGTAGAAGGCCTGATCCATTTCCCTAACATATTTGTAATGTTTTCTATATTATAATTTACCCAATATAAAGCTCGGGAGCCATTCAAGATAGAGGATTACTGTTAAAATGGCAATGATGAACACAGTATGTCATGAATGAAAGAAATGATAGGAAGTGAAGATTATGAGTCAAAAGAGGATAGATAAGAATTGACCCTTGACTTAGATTGACTTAGACTTAAGATTGTAGTGTTCAGGAAAGCACTTACAGGGTGCGATGGATAAATTGTCGCCATTTTATATTTTATGCATTGTTTTTTTTTTTTTTTTGACTGCCCAGTATAGTAGGGTCAGTTTGGCACTGTGAGAAAAAGAGAACCATGATACAATTCACTCCACCAGAAATTTGGAAACAGCATGCTGTACTGCTTAGCATTCACATCAGGAGCTCCAATCTGAGGACAGTACAGAGGATGGATGACCACTGGTGATTATGAAGGTTTTTAGGGTGATCACTAGTGATGCCTCCATTAATCTTCCCACAGAGCTTCAGACTCAACATGGAGGCCTACATCAAGTACATTGAGGAGGTAGTGCTGCTCTGTGTCAATAGGGTGGATGCTGGAAGATGCTGTGTGGGGCAACAGAACTCAGCACCATGCCACACAAGCAGAAAAACCCAGTCATGGCTGTCAGACAATTTCTGCAATCATGTCAGCCCTTTCATCTGGCCATCTAACTCCCCAGACTGCAATTCCCTTGATTATTACGTGTTGGGTGCAGTTGAGCAAGAGACCAACAAAACCCCCTTGTAGCATGAAAGATGAACTGAAGGCAAGGATTATGGCAGCATTCACCAACTTAAGCAAGGAGACTATACAGATGAGTTGCAGGAGATTCCAAAGTCACCTGGAGGCCATGGTTGAAGCCAATGGGGATTTTATTGAATAAATTTACTCTTTAGTATGTCAAGATATTTTTGTGTAATTTTGGTAAATATATCTGTTGAAATGAGATGTCAGTGTTATGTTCATTTTTGTGTAATTTAGATGACAATTTATCCATCGACCCTGTATATGTGAGTCTGTTCCAAAAGGATAACAGTTCTTGTAGTGGGTGGTGACTTTTCAGGGACAAACTTTCTTCTTATAGTTGGAACATAGAGGAAATGAGGGTGATTTAACTCCATGGAAGTAGCATGGTGTGTCTGTAATGGTCTGAACAACTAAAACTACAGCTAAAGAATGAAGCTTATCTGAAGATTTGCATGGAGTAATAACATAAGGACAGGCTTTCAAAGTTGCAAGTTATCACCAAAAAATTCTTACAATCTAAAAATATTTTCTGACTTTAAATTCTCTGCAAAAAAATAAATAAGCTATAAAAAAAAAGAAACAATACAGTTTTATCTGTCTATATTTCTGAGATGAGGTATTATGTACACTATTTACATTATTCAGACTATTGTCCTCATCTTTGTCGCCACATTTATTACAACTGGACCCAAAGAGTGAGTTTAATACCCAGTTAAGGTGGTGGAGAACTTGGAGAGGGGAATTAACAGAAGATAACTGATAACTGACATCCATTAGACATGGCATGAACTAGAACAGTCTATCCCAGCGAGCGAAATAAATGGTTCAGTTCCAACCACCTGAAGAAGGCCGGAGCGTACAATGGCCGAAACATTGTAATAAATATGGTGACAAAGATGAGGACAATAGTCCGAATAATGTCAATAGAATATATAGTTTTATATCTTGTTTTAATATCATAGCAATTAAAGTAAATGCATCTTTTCCCATAAAGTCAAGAACTATGCAAATTTACATGAAATAGTAGTAGCTTTTAGTCATCCATATATCTTACTAGTTATATCTAAGTCTTATTCCTTTTTTAATTTTTCTGGTATTTACAGTTTAAAAATCACTATCATCATTGTTACCACATCTATCAGCTTCATTCTTGTTGCCACAGCAGACACAATATGGCTAAGTATCTTAGGTAAGTAATACACCTTAATACATAAATTCATTCAACTAAGGAAAATGAAACCTTTTTCTGTGCATTCTTTTATAAGGAAGTGAATCAATAGCTGCATCTGCTGCAAGGTAAGTTGGCTCACTGTGTCGTGACAGAAGGGTTTTCTTGTCAGAGCCCATTCTACATATCTACAAATCTACCATTTGTCCATGCACTGAGTACTGTTACCATATCTGGTTTGGTGCCCCAGCTATTTATCTTGAGGTTCTCTACAAAATCCAAAGAAGGATCTGCAATGTAATCGATCCTGATTTGACATCTCGATTCCAGTCACTTTCTCACAGACATGATGTGGCTTCCCTCTGTCTTTTCTACAAATATTTTCATGCCTGTCAAGTTTTTTTCTATGGTGCCCCAACTACATAAATTTAGAATAGACTGGCATCTATGTCCCACCCTTTTATTATTGAATTAGTTAAATGTAACCACCATTTCTACTCAACAGTTTTTCTTGCACTTCCTGCCTGTGGAATTCTCTTCAATTTACTTGCTTCCCGATACCCACAATCTTCAAAAATTTAAATGCAACATCAATCACCATCTTCTAATGTCTTGAACCTCATTCATCATTTATCCTTTCCTCATTCCCCCTATACACAGTTTTTCTCTCACCTTCATTCTATGTAACTCCCTACGAATCAGTGGCACTCTCGCCTTGTTTTGGGTGAAATGCTTAAAAAAAAAGTGCAAAGTTAGCCTGAAATTTAACACTTTCGCTGCTGTTGACATGCGTATATGTCTTTATGAAATTTACATTGCCTGTTGTCAACATATATATATACATTTTCAAGACATCTTTACAAAACTTACATTACCTTCTGTCCCCATGAGATTGCTAAAAAAAAGATCATAACATAAATAAAAAGGGCCTTAAACGATGAAAATAATTTTTTATTGGCTAAATGTTTGTTATTATTAAGAGGTAAGAGCAAAATATTTTTGGGGTATTTTTTTTTTACATTTTTTAATTGATCCTAGCACGTCCAAAATTTTTGTTAAAAATGTTTTTTTTTTTTTAGTCATCAAAATTGACAGAAAATTGGTCATGTCAACCTTTTTCTCCATTTTGTAAACAAAAATGAAATTCTCTGTTTAAAATTCTTTTAAAAATCAATTATAAGTTTTTCAAAATTTATTAGAAGAAAACTAGAATTTATAAAGTTTATTTAAAATATTTTGCAACAAACATTACTTACTTTCTGCGCCAAAAAAATGTAGTTTAAAAATAAGACAAAGCAGGTTTTAACAATGGTGTCAATTGACAAGTGATTATTTCATCCCATATTGACAGCTTACAATGAGGGTAAGTTATCGTACAGGAGGACAGAAATAACATAATTATTTAGTTTTAAGTGAACCAACTTATTTACCTCATTATTTTTAAAGAAAACTCTCAGCGCTCTAATTTTTTTGTTTTGCTTTTTTGTACTTAGTTTTCACCTTATATTTACGATGCTTTATGGAAAATATATTATAAAAAAAATTAACATAAGACTGTAGAGAGTGAGATTAAATTTCATAAGAAAGGTACCTATAAATTAGATACCTTTCTCATGAAATATTATCATAAGTGTACATAAAATACTATAATTTTAATGTACATTTATTATATTTTCCTTTCATTCATCACATATTGCTTTCTGAATTTAAAATTTATATATTTCAATTTAAACTTTGACAAAAATATATGGTCCTTTTCATGATTTTTAAAAACATGATGAGTAAACAAGGCACTAAACAAAAAGCATAATTTTAATAATCAATAACAATGTCACGGATGATAACATTTTAAATCCAGAGTCATTTATAAGGAAATTTGGAATTGGAGTCAAATGTTTTGTATCCGACTCCCCAGTCTTGGTAAAATCAGCAATACATTTAATTAACACTTCACTCATGCATTAAAGTGTAGACATACACAAATTTAATTTAAAACAAAATAGCACTTTATTTAAACATAAATTCCAAGTGCCTTGGTTTTATTACAAACTTCTCAAATATCTTGTCATGTAATATTTCTGCCATTCTAAATTGACAAGAATTTGCTTCTCAATTGTAATATGAGCCAATGAAGACAAGCATTGTGCATCTTAAAAATGACCAAATTCTGTCTAAGGTTGAGAAACTTCTTTCATTTGCAACAGACATGGCAGGGATGGTTAGAAACAGGTGAATAAATTTTACAGTCTTTGGCATTACAAATAAGAAACTCAGTTTATGAAGTAATTCTGAAATGACATTGTAGAGGCAGAACCCTAACTAATTTATATTTACACAAATTACCACAAAATCTAAAACAACAAAAAGAAACACATTCAACAAGAGAAGTTGCATAAGTAAATGGAAATTATAGATACATAACAACAATTGTACAAAACAGGAATTCAGTTGTGTTTGAAATGCTGAAATTTACTTGGAGTTTTGAGTGAGGGAAATGTTTTTGTTGATAAATTGTGAATTGTATTAAAAAGTGTGTGAGTTTGGAGAATTCTAGTAAGATGTAGAGTTACTTGTAAGAGAATTAAACAGTTTAAAAATAGTGCAAAAAAAATGTTTGTGGGTGTGACTCAAAATGTTATTTTAAGAGTTTCTGTGCTTGTGGTTGTAGAAGTGAATGTTCGTAGATGTTCATACATATGTGTGTGTCATGACGTTTCATAGCGTTTTCCCCTAAGGGACAAACATGATCTCTCCGCAGAGCTACATTGCTATAGGACTGAGAACACAAGAAAGAGAAAGGGTGAAGATATGTCAAAGTATTTATAATTAATGTGAGCCACATGATAGGCTCAATATTGCTTGGCGCAATTTGTGTTTTAACTCTGGTTAGAAATTAGGTTGATTCAATTCAGATGTAGTTGAGAACAGGTGAAAGGTATTTTTTAATATTTGTTAATCAGCCAGAAAGTGTCTTTGCAAAAACTCAGTTTGGATCCTGTATTATGTTGTGCTGATTTTGAGAAATATGTATGTGAAGATACACAAAATACAATTTTAATATTTATAGTCCAATCAGGACGTTGTTAAATAACAGAATTAAGGAAACTTAGGCGTGATCCACTGAAATGTAGAAGTTAGGTTCTACAACATGATTTGACAAACATTTTTTTAAAGTCATTGTTGTGGTACAAATATTTCAGTTCGTTTGAAATATCTGTAATCAAATAAATTTTAGTATTTACGTTGCAAAGTTTTTATAAGCTTCATTGGAAAATTATGTGCAAACATTTCAAACTTCTTCACATCAAATAATAGAAAAAACATTGAAATTCTTCAATGTGAACAAATCGCCTTAATGACATTAAAATAGTCCAAAATATTTCCAAATAAATCACTTTATTGTTCATTTGCTTTTCTCTGGTTATTTTTGGAAGAGTGGGGGAATCAGAATCATTCAAATGTTCAATTTCAAGCATTGTTGTTTCAATAGTATTTTTATACTGTTCATCATTGCATTGATTTTCAATAGACTGAATAAAATCATTTATTTTAGCCTAAGTACATTTTAAATCAAGCTATTTACATTGTAAAATGTCAAACAATTTCTCAGCACATGATAATATTGTATAAAAGCAGTTTATAAAAAATATGAAATTGAATTTCTTCAATTTGGCCAATATATTTATCAGCTTCACTGAGTCCCAATTTTCATTTTGATCTAAAATGTTTTGAAATGAACATTTCAAAATCCTTTACAGCTAACACAGTTCTGGATTTATAACACCACCTTGTGTTGCACAGTGATGGAATACTTAGTTTAAAATTCCTAAATATAGTCTTTCTCTTTCTACTATAAGATGTAAATTTATACAATCTGCATAAATGAGAAAAACATACTTTAACTTCATTAACCTTCTTGGCAATTTGACTTAAAATCAAATTAAATTTATGTGCATAACAATCAATTAATTCACCATATTTAAACCCTTTTTTCTCTCAATTTTATTTGTATGCTGTTTCATTTACCTGTCATTACAGCTGCTCCATCATACGTTTGGCAAACCAGTTTACTTTTAACATTACTAAAAGAGTTTACAGCAGTTTGTAGGAGTTAGCTAACACCTTACTGCATTTATATTAACACAAATGTAACAAAATAAAGAACGACAAGAGAATATCAAAGTTCAAAACAAAATATGCATTAACAATAAATAGATTATATTTATAAACAATAACAAGTACAATATTTGTTGAGTGTAGAATTTTAAATTGTTTAAATGTTTTTGTTTGATGGTTTAAATGTCAATAATATTTTGGATCAAAAGGTTGTGTGTTGTTATAATGTACATTCAAATATAAGAAAGTATATTTCAGTATTTAGGTATTTATGGTGAATTTAAAACAGTTTATGTTTGCAAATAATTTCTATAAATTTCAAAAGATTTACTGAGAGTTTGAAAGGGTTATCTTTCTTTGATCAGATATTTTATATTGAGTTTGGTTGTGTATTCAATTTGTAAGTTTGTTTGAAATAATATATATTGCAGACTGAGTATTATGTTAAAAATAGGTTTTTAACTTGAAGTCTGAATATTGGAATAATGACACACGTTAACTAGTGTCAGGTAGAAAATTTCCCTTCTCACTGAAAAGGAATGATTTAAGTGTCACTTAAATAAGAAAAGTTTGTCACATGATAGGCTCACAATGACTTGGTGGGAGTGTCTTTTTATTCAATTTGAACATAGTTGAAAACATGTCATCTCTTATTTTTCACATTTAATAACCAATCAGAACACATTATTCTGTATTTCTGCTTTGAGCCTATTTTAATGGGTTTTGAAAAGAATGTAGGATTTTGAATCCTACAAGATTCTATTACATCAGCTAACCTTGAAGTGCTTTTATCATTACTTACGTCATAAAATCCTAAAAATCTTTCATTTATGTTGCATCCAGTAACATACCTGATTATAATAGAAAGCTGTGCATACATTGCACAATCAGTAGTTTCATCTGCCTGTACTGAAATAAATGGAGTATTTTCAACCTCAGTTTGGATTACATCAGATATTACCTTATCAACTGCAGATATAATGTCATTCTGTATCGTACTTGAAACTCCTGAAAATTGTTTTGATCCTTCTTTGGTATAAAGTTTTGATGCAAAGACGCTATCTATTTCTGAAAAGCAATGTGATAACTTATGATAATTTCCTTTCTTCAAGCTATCTTTTCATTTGTCATGGCCACACAATGGTAGTTCTTGTTTGCAAAGATATAATACAGCATTTACTGTTTTAAATATATTGTTTTCTTCAACTAATTTGTTATGTTATTCCCTTTCAAACTTTGCAGATTCACTAATAGCAGTTATGATGTCATAGAAACGAAATGTATTTAAATATTTGTAATTATTTAAATGGCTCATAGATTTAGAATGAACTTTGCTGTCGGTCAAAATATTTTTATAATTGTTATAACCCCCATCTGTCCATGATTGACCAGATTTTTGTTGAAAGAGCAAGCAAAACCAACAGTAGAGTTTTTCTTCTGACACACTTGCACTGTTGATACCATCTATTTGGAAAAGAACGTGTGCCAACTTTAGTTTTCAGTGAAGGAGTCAGTCGGCCTAATTTAATGATTTCTTGCTTTTCTGCAATATTCCGCTTCCCAAATGAATTTCCTTTAAGATCTAACACTATTTCATTCTTCATTATTGGGGAATTGATTTTTATCAATAGTGCAAGTGTCTTTTTAACAACTAGATGACATATTCATAAGAATGCACAAATTTTAAAATTCTATTGTGATGATTTGAGCCATTAATTGAAGATTTAGAGAATGGTCAGGTGCATTATATAAATGAAATCGATATTTTATAACAAGCAGCATTTATAATTGAATTGAAAGAAAATATGTCCCAAATCATTTTTACACTTTTAGTTCTTTACATTTTAATTTTAGTGAAGCTTCAAATATAAATAAACGTTACAATGCAATGGTTAGTTAAACAGAGAAGCAGAAAAGTGTGTGTGTGTATCTCTTAACAAAAAAGTTAAATACTAAATATAACTGGGCGGGGGGGATTGTACATGTCATTCAATTCTGTAATACTAAATATAAATGGGGGATCTTACGAGGGTAAGCTGAAATGTTCATCAGCTGAACCAGAATTCAATAGCTTGCTGATCAGCTGTTTTATTCTATCACACTTGTATGTCTTTTAGTCTACCAACTGATATGTCTACTTACATTTATATCTTGGTCAGCCTATGAACATTTCAGCCAACCCTTATACATGCCTTTAAATTCTTTTACATTGAATACATATAGTGGTGCCTTATATGATTTCAAATACAGCAATTTGTTTAATTATACACTTGCAAATGGTTATGATAGAAATGGATCAAACAATTCTTTTGCATTTTCTTTTCTTCCAGGAGTCTGCTATGCTAGTTTCAGTTCTGGCTTTGGAGAAGTTACATTCCTAAGTCTCACCTCATTTTTCAATAAGTAAGTAAAAATCTATTATAACAGCTAAAAATGGCTTCTAATTTAATTTCTTACAGTGAGCACTTTCTGAGAAGTTTATGGATTTTTTTTTATTTATTATCCAATATTATTTCTTATTACTTTATTATATTTAGTGGATATGCATTTTTGTGTTGAAATCCCAGTAGACATTTTATTTTTTTATTTTTCAATGTTCACCCTATAAAAGGCCCAAAAGCCACTCCTGGCAGAAGGTTAAACTTATACTTATTATTTTTATATTTTTTTCCTCTTTAGAACTGATTTGCCATCTGTTGATCTACCATGAAAATTTCAACATTATAAATTAAAGCTATTAAATTTTCTTCCATGGATAATTCAACATTATCAATAAAATATGTTCTCTCTTTTTTGCTCGCTAACATTTACTTATCTCTTTTTCAATCCCTTTTGCATTTTAATTTAACTGCATGTCTTACATTAATAACTAAATATTTTTGTGTTGAACTTTTGTTTTGTTTTTTTAATTTTATACTGAGTGAAATAGGTTGAACCATTTGGGTAAAATTAAATCAATTTTCTAGTGACTGTATCTAAAGATAATTGAAAGAATCCAAAGAAGAATTTACAATATCATCAGTCCTGACATCTCAGCTTCAGTTACTTTCCCACTACTGTAATGTGGCATTCCTGTGCCTTTTCTATAAACACTTTCAAGGCAAATTTACAATCAGAAAGATATAGTTGAAATTTGGGGGTCACATAATGAGGACAGAAGGCCTAGAGAATTTAATATTCACAGGACATATTGAAGGCAAGGGAAGAAAGTGCAAACAGTGAGTAGCCTACTTAATAAAAATAACATGAATTTGGAAGAACTTCCTTTTCCCTCAGTCCAATAATTTTATTGAGCTTTGGCATTATAATAAACTCTTTGGTTTTGCTTTTATTTTTAACAGGAATGTTGTATCTACATGGTCTTCAGGTACAGGAGGAGCTGGCGTATTTGGTGCATTATCCTATGCTGGCCTTACACAAATTGGAATCACTCCAAGAAATGCTGTCTTAATGATGCTTATCATTCCAGTTATATTTGCATTCAGGTAAGTCATCCTCATCATCATCATATGTCTAACGACCAAGTATGGTCATAAGGATACTGCACAGCTGAGTACCTGACCAGTTGTCTCTATGTGTCTTGGTTGTGGGTCAATGTTTAAGTCTCTGTAAATGATCTTACAGTCCATTCAATGACATTTTCACCTTATTTTTCCTCTGCTGCTTCTTATTTCCAAGATGGTAGGATAGCAGTGAAAATATTTTTGGTTCTTATGTCATTTTATACTTTCTCTTTTTGAGAATAATTGGTTTATGGCCATATCATGTTGAAACACTGGTTCTCATCCAATCACTTAAGTTAACCAACATTAAGACTGGTCAGTACCTAGATAGGTGACCACTTGGAAATATCAGGTGCTGTAAGCTTGGATGTGCTGTTGGTGTAATGAATAACAGCTCAGAATAAAAAATTGGAGAGCCAAGTTCCAATTCCAGTCAGGTTCATTATATTCACTTACATGCAAATACCCTTGGGAAAGATATGAATCCATTTCTTCTCCTCCCAGATATAGGTTAAATATCAAGACTTGTATTAGAAAATCATTATTATCACAAACAAAATTACTTAGAATTCAAGAATGTTTTAGCTTTAAATAACTTTAAAAAGAAATATTATATTTCTGTTGTCAATGTTAGCCAGGTAGCAAAGTACAATGTTAACTTGGACATTTAGATGCCATAACATAATGCACAGACATAGTTTCAGTAAAATAAAAAAAACCAACAAACCAGAAGTAAGGATTCAACGTTAGCCAACCAAACAGAAGATCGAGAATCTAAAATTGTGTTTAAGTTGAGCATATCTTTACTGATATAAGCAGGAGAATCAGCATTTATACAGCAGTATAGTGACAGAGGATAAGTAACTACTTCAGCAAACCAGGAACAATACATCTGCTCAACCTATGGGCAATGTAAAATTCCACTCACTACTCCCAGAAGAGAAAGTTGACACAAGAACTAACACTTTAACAATAAATAATTGGATTTATTTGAAAGTACGAGCTTCACATACTAAAAGCAAATATGCTCCCAAAAAGTTTACATGTATGATTTATGACCAGTGTTTGTTGTTCCCACAACAAAGTAATTGAGACTCGTCTATTTTCGTTTCTATAGAGTCAGTATTCTACCTAATAAATAGTTGTTATTGTTTGTTCTATAAATCTATGTTTGTGTTTATTCAGGTTTCTATAGTTAGAGATGTTGTTACCTTAGGGCCAATGAATGTCCTGGGTATGACTGTAAGCTACATCTGCGTCTTGGGTAGGACAATAAACTACATCCAACAGCAAGGCCTCTGATCAGGAGGTTTTGAGGAGCATGGAACCACCTCTTAATTGCTGATGTTCCCACTCTGACCTGGGGTGGTAGCACCTATTAGAGTCCCAGCTATGGGAAAATAGCTGACATCCAAACTGGGGTCAAAACACTATGAAAGTGTAAAAATAGGTTTTAATATTGATATCCCGGAAAGGGATATATTTGATCAAAGTAGCTAAGTGGTTTTGGCTACTGTAACCAAGTAGTACACGGTAGCAGTAATCGACTGGTACTCATCGTAGTCGCAGGTAATAGGTGTAGACCAATAGGATAGCCAATGGCGTAGTCCAATGGGCGTTGTCATAGACTTAAACTCTGTCGTACCTACATGTCCGTCTGTATTTATGACGGACACCAGCCAATCTTATTCCAGTGAGGGGGAACTCAGGTGTATGCATATTCCATTATATCAAATACATACCAGAAATACTTTAAAAAAAAAAATTTATTACCAGCAATACATTTTTAGGAAAAAAAGATATTACCAACTATAGTTTATTTTGAAAGAAAATATTACCAGCAATAAAAAATTTGTTGGCATTAAAAAATCCATTGAGGTCGATATGCCATAAACCAAACCAACCAACTTAGGGCCAATGAATCAAATCATAGTTATCACATCCTCTAGAGCAGTATTAGTCTCTAGCTTTGTATACCAGCCAGTGTAAAAGATGAAAAAACTATGAATTGAAATAATTTGGCTGTAATCACATCAACTGCTGAGTGGCAACACTTCATTGATTAGTATTTAACTTCTCATAAAGGATATCTGTTAATCATGAAAAGTGCCTATGGCTCTACCTAAAAAAAAAAAAATGTTTTTGCTCACAATTTAGTCGAATTTTTGGAGTTGTACAGTCGGCACTGCAACCAGAAGTAATTATTTATTTTTTTCAGATTATTGTAATTTAAACACTCCCGCTTCTAAATGTCAAATTAGTATCCTTTGTGCAGGCCGCAGTTGTGCTTGTAAAGGGCTGCATGTGGACCACATGTTTGTCATGCCTGCTCTATGGCACCTAAACTTTATGAATTTAAGAGCAGTACTAGATTGGCAGCAAAGTCTCATGATTTTACAGTTGAATTAGCTAGATTTAACTGGAAGTTCTATGCTAATAGTTTCTTTTCTTGCACTTCTTGCTTGTGGAACATTCTTCCAGCCTCTTGCTTTCCAGTCAAATTTAATCCTCAAAAGTTTAAATGCAATGTCAATTGTTATCTCATGTCTTCTTAATTCCCGTTCCTTTAACGTTCTTTCTCTTTAATTAATAATGTTTTCTTTTCCTTATATTCCCTCATACTCAGTAAACTCTTGTATCTTAGTGGCTTTATTGCCTTGCTTGGGACGAAATGATTAAAAAAGAAATCTGAATACAACTGTAACTTATTTTTAATTCTTAACTGATCCTTCAATTTGCTTTCTTTTTTAATCTTTCAGTTATTTCATATTACTTAAAAAGCCTCCTGTGCTTCAATCAATTGGAGCAACTCTTACCCAACATACACAGTTCAATTGTAAGTAATTTAGGAAATTGTGTCCCTTTTTTTTCTTTTTTCTTTTTTAATGCTTATTGTATATTTGAGATAATTATTTTTTATATATTTATGTACTTATAAAGTTAACTGATATCTGTGAGATTCACTTGTTAAATTTTGCTTTTAAAATTTCACATCATACAGCTCAAAGATTAATTGGAATGTTATTTTTTTAAATGCTGAATATTTTAAATGCCAAATTGTGCATCTATTTCATACCCAGTTTCTATTGAAACAAAACTTTCAAACTAATGAAACTGTTAGCCACATGCAGGTCTGAGCCCCTGTTGACATTTTTTGTCTAAAAACTTGGTTTTAAAATCTCTATTTGCACTAAGTAATGTATGATTTCTGATAGCTATAGATAGATGTTTTTGCTTTATAAAAATGCTTAAATGATAATACGTGCTACCAAGTCATCCCTTAAGTAATGTTCATTCTGACATGCTATCCATTTTGTCAGCCACACATCCCTTATATGTCAAATTGGATTTTAATATTTCTCAAACAGGAAACTAATTATTATCAGGGTGGGCTGAAAAGTTCACAAGCTAACTATGAAGGAGTGATGCTATATATATATATATATATATATATATATATATATCTTTTAAAATAGAAAGAAACCACAAACATTTCTGGTAGATTTGTTTTAGTATATATATTATATTTTATTCTTCATATTTATGCTACATGCGTTTCCGGTGTCATAACCTTCTTCAGGCAAATAAAAAGAATAAATTTTTAAAAAGAATAAATTTTCCTTATTTTCTTTTAATGTCTCATTGTTCAAATCCACATTATAACCAAAAATGTTTGCTGTTTCTCTCTTTTTTTAAAATATACATTTTTCTCTCATTGGAACAACTATAACCTTTTCCCTATATATATATATATATACTAGCAGTAGATCCCGGCGTTGCTCGGGGATGTAACAGTAAGAGATAGATCAAGTATCGACCATCATAAAGACTGAAAAATAAAATTGACAAAGATTATTGTTTAAGGTTGACGGACACGCATGTCTTAATTAGTTTTTTTTTGTTTTTTTTTTACGAATTGGTCAAACCCAAACTCAAACAAAAAAATTGTTTACAATCGTTATGAGTCTATCGATTGGTGAATAGAATTTTATTATAAACAATTGTCTTGTAAATGGAATTTTTAAAGCATTCTGAATGTAAATAAAGAAAAAAGTGTGCAAGACAATAAGAAATACTACCTGCCAAAAAAAAAAGTGGATGTTTGTTTTATCGGCTGAAAAATGTAAGAAATCCGATCCCATATATAAAGGAACACACACACACACAACCTGGGTTTTTTTACCTATGTCACTCCACGGAATCGCTAAAACATAGAGCATAGTCTGATGAAAAAGATGCCAAAGTTTATGAAAACAAAATTTTATCGTCAAAATGCTTGTTTTTATGAAGAGGATAGACTAAATTTTTTTTTAATTATTTTTTAAAATTTTTCCATCTTTTTAGAATATTCTAAATTTTGATTTAAAAAACCTTGTTTCTCTTTGTCACAACAAGGAGTAGTAAATAACATAGATAATTTTTAGCGCGTTTTTTTGTATTTACACACATTAATTTGGAAAATCTTGCAAAAATAAAAATAATTGTCAGATGTTAATGAAACTTGCAGAAACTATTCACAGATGATCGAAATTATTATAAATATGTTCTTTTTTTTTATTAAAGTCATGGCAGAAATATTTTTTTCATATTTATTAACATCCCCATAACTAATTTTATGAAAAACTCTAGAAATTCGAGACCATCGGTTTTAGTGATTACAATAGTTAAAAGCACAAGGCTTTGAAGAATGCAAATCATGTATTTTTTTTTTTTTTTTTTGGCCAACGTACCTGAAAATCAGCTGTGAATTGTAACATACAAAACTCAATAAAACAAATATATTATTTAGTTTCAAATGCTTTTATTTGTTTTAATTTGTTTTTTATGAATATGGACAATATTTTCTGGAAGCAAAAAAATTTTTTCAATGAAAATTGAATTTTTAATACAATTATTTCTTATTTCTTTAATTTTAAAAAGATTTTTTAAAAAATGTTTAAATTGAATTTTAAAAATATTTTCACATTAGTTAAATGCAACATCAACCTTTCAAAATGTCCGTGTGAGATTGTCATTGTCTAGCGCTTTGAAAATTGTATAATTTGGACCAATCAGATTAGCCATGGTAATTAAGAAATGTAATTTTTGTGTTTATAGTCGGACAGTAATTTTCAAGTACGGAAGACCAACCAGAATACAATTTAGTTGCATTATTTGAGTTCAGCATTGTTCTCCACTGTTAAGCCCTTTACTTTTGCGAAACACGTATGGAGAAGTTAATTTAAGTTTTCAATTTCAACTGAGAAGGGTACCTACAAGTAACAGTATCATCTTATGAAATTTAACTACTGCTAAACTTTAATTTATATGATCTTATTTTTATATTAATCTCAGTTATGACATTTTTCCATAAATGAAATATCAATATTAATAATAAAATGAATGGAAATACAAATAACACAGTAAAATGTAATAAATGTACATAAAATTATAGTATTTTATGTACACTTCTGATAAAATTTCATAAGAAAGGTACCTAAATTAATTAGATACCATTTTCTTATGAAATTTAATCTCACTATTAACAGTCTTATTTTTTAATTTCTTTATATTTTCCATAAAGCATCGTAAACGTAAAAATGAAAGCTAAGTACAAAAAAAAAAATAAAATAAAAAATTAGAGCGCTGAAAGGTTTCCTTAAAAGTAACGAGGTAAATAATTTGTTCACTTAAATAATTTCACTTCCTTCCATCCGTAGAAAGAATTACCCTCCCGTAAGTTATCTAAACGTCATGAATGTGCCTTTCGTCAATCGTCAAGCGACGTGAAAGGTTATGACCTGCTTTGTTTTATTTTCAAATTACATTTTTTCGGCGCAGAAGAAACTTAACTTAAGCTTGGTTCAAAATATTTTAAATAAACAGTATATCTGTTTTTATTAAAATCAGTTTTGAAAAAATGATAATTGATTTTTAAAAGAATATCAAAGTAAGATTTTAAACTTTTTTTTATCAAATCGAAAAAAATGAAAAATGATTGATTATCTGTCCTTTTTTTTGACAAAAAAAAAAACAATATTTTTACGAAAATTTCAGACGTGCTAGGAACGATTAAAAAATGTAAAAAAAATACTCCAAAAATACTTTGATCTTTCCTCTTTAATAATAATATGAACATTAGACGATAAAATTTTGTTTTTGTCAAGTTCGGGCCTTTTTTCATCATGCTATGCTCTTTTGTTTACATTTTCGTGGGTGAGTTGTCCCCTTTTCATTCTCACAATGTGTCTTAATCGTGTTTTCAAATTGATTTTCTTAAAAAACAACTGTGTTTTTCCCATTTTCGGCATAGTTAGAACCACCAAAAGGTAATTTTATGTAGTCCTGTGAAGTTTTGTTGAAATCGGCTAAAAAATGTAGGAAATTCGATCCAACATATAAACGTTACAGACACACACACACAACCTGCGTTTTATAATAAGTAAGATATATATATATATATATATATATATATATATATATATATATATATATATATAAAGGTCTGATAAAAAACGTATCAATACTGGTGACATAAAAATAAAACTACAACATGCATCAATTCAGCATTTCATCTCCTTCAGAGTAGTCCCCTTCTGAAGCCACACACTTTATCCAGTGTTGTCTTCATTGATGAACGCATTTCTGGAACTCTATTTTTGGGATTGTGAGCAGCTGCCATGTGGCATTCTCTTGGATTTCATCAATGTCTTAAAATTCTATCCCTTCCAATTGGGATTTGACTTTTGAAGTGGAATGGTTCGCAAGGATCAAGATCCGGGGAAGATGGTAGTTGTCTGACCTGGGGAATTTGGTAGTGTGGTGAGTTGACCACATTCTACACACTTTTCTTACAAGCACTACTATATACAATGGAAGTGGGCGAGAACATTATAACTTAGTGTGTGTGTGACAGAGTTCAAGGTCAGTCTGTGCCAAGCGGCTCCACTCTGCATATTTTAGCTCCATTACAATAGCAACAGTCCCAATACTATTTGATCAGACCTCATATATACCTGTTGGTTCCTACAATAAACTCACCTACCCTTTGACAGATCTTGTTTTTCATCCCGCGGGGTGTCATGCGAGCCTCCACACCAGAAAAGCTAGTAAGGCAGCTTTAGATGCCAACTATCCATCTATATGGTTGTACTGGGTTACATGTTATCAGTATCAGGCCTAAACCTGACTTGCATTGTTTAAAAGTGTTCTGTTGTTTTTTTTTATTCTTTCCAGAATTACCTTCTCCTGTTCTTTTATAAACTTAAATGTATTTGTTTTTTTAATGTCCTTTTACTTAGATTCAAAATTTATATCCTTTTAAAGGATTTTCCAACTTCTCTGTTTATTGCATGTTGAGAAAAATTATGACATTCCTAACAATTATTAAGACCTTCTTTGTATTAAACGCCTAAGAGTAGCAAATGTCTTTATTCCCACCAATTATTAATACCTCCTTACATTAATGTATCCTTTGTATTAGGCACCTAAGAGTAATAAATTTATTTTTAATTGTAATTTTTTTCTTTTTTTTTAAGCAAATCCACCACGACTTATTCTTTCTCCAAAAGAGAAACTGCTCAGAATTGTGGTATGTAAAATATTATTTACTATAGCATCTTAGCAAAAAGACATTTCAATATGAATGTAATATATTAAACAATATGGCCTGTCAGTTATAATTTTGATCAAAAGATTCATCTCTCATATTCAGAGTGGTTAAATAGTAAGGTAGACTGGGCTCTCTAGCCTTAGGTAGTAATCAGTCTAGGAGAAAATGTAGAAGAGAAATGAACCACCCTAGCAAGTGACTTGGGATAAGACACATTCTGTGTGGTGGGAGTGAAGGATTTTATCATATATTCAATAATAATAATAATGTAATTAACCCATTACTGCATAAAGTTTCCTTAAAATTTGATCCCTTTTTGCCTTATCTACCTTGCTGGCTAATGGTAATCTTAGGGCTGACATTTAAAATTTTAAATAACTCCATCTCTAAAAAATTGGATACCATCCACTAATGGGTTATATAGTTTCAACATCTTAGCTTAACAGGTGTTAATTAAACCAAAGAAGTTATGAAACTTACTAATTATTAAATCTAGAAGGTGGCTCTGAACTTTTGGCCTATATTGTACATGACCTGTCAAGTGTGTGTCATGGAATCACAAGACCAGGTACACATCACATGGATGTGGATTTGTAGCAAGCATTCTCAGGAGGGGAGTATTATGCACATTGTATTCATATACAAAAAGAAAAATTCATATACAAGGTCTTTTTTCTCTACTTTTCAAGCATCAAATGATTCATTACTGTAATTTACACTGATGGAAGTGGTCAAACAATATAAATTTTTTTTTTCTTTGTTTGACCTTCTATTATCTGTTTATATTATAAGACCTTGTACATTGTTCATCCCAGATGATTTGGAATAAGAAAGCCTTATCTAACTTCTCTTTCCCCCTCTTCATTTTATATCTGAATATTGAAAGAGCTGCTATTAACCACCAAACAATAAACTGTATTGTTTTCTTTTATTATCATTATAATAGTAGATTGTTAAACAAGCTGCTTATCATACATTTGGTGCATAATTGATATTATTACATTGGGTCACTGTATACTCATTTCAGATTTTCATATCAATTGTTTCTTTTTAATTCTAATTTCCTAGAAGTAATTTCTCAAAATACACACTCATTAAATAAATACATTCATTTGATTTTACTTTTAGCAAATACAATTGCCAATTGTGAGGAGAAGAGGTTGAAAACTTTCAAAGTAGATGAATTCATCAACACATGGGGGATTTCTCATATATATATATATATATATATATAACAGCATAGTTCTCCACCACTTTATTTTTCCATTTTATCATACTTTAGTTTAAAATTTAATTTTCATAATTATAATTTTCTTCTCTTTTTTTTTTTTTCTCCCACTTATTTTTGTTAACATTACTATTTTTAAGGTTCAGTATTAAAAATCTGCAATATTAAGTATCACCACATCAGCATTATGGTAGCTAGATATATTTTGATTCAAACTGTAAAACAGTCAATATTTGAGCACAGCACCCAAAGATTGTGTCGTACAGAGTCGTGCTAGAGGTGTGAGATAGTGTATGTGTATATATATATATATATATATATATATATAGAGAGAGAGAGAGAGAAAGTAATGGATAGTGGCTTAGATTGAGGAATTGGAGTACTGAGTTCAAATTTCAGTCATGTTTGATAGCTGCCACATCATTGTTGAATATGACCAGTGGTGGCATCCTACCGGTTCACACAAACAGATTCTTAAAATTATAAAAGCTTAGCAAACTGATTGTTGGACTATACAAAAATAAAACATCTCCACAACTGCAACTGCAGAAAAAACAAACCCTGCCCATTAAACAGCAAATGTATGTCTAAATCATTAGTTTATAAAGCTGAAATCAAATATAACAGCAAGGCCAAGTTTTATGTGAGCTCTACAGAAAACCATTGGAAATCGCACTTCTACCACATCAAATGACATTAGGCAATATCAAATATAGTAACAGCACTGCTCTCTCTAAATTTTTCTGGAAACTGAAAATTGAGAATATTAACCCAATTATCACCTGGGAAGCAGTAACAAAAGCTAAATCCTTCAGCAGGAAAGGCAACAGATGTAACCTATGACTTTCTTAGAAATTAATAACCCTGAAAAATATAAACAATTCTAACCTCTTAAACAAAAGAAGTGAGTTAATGAGCACCTGCCTACATAGATCAACATTTCTACTCAAACATATTGACCCAGATTAGTATAGTCTAGCTGAATCCAGTGACCACATATACTAGTATCAATATTATTCATTTTTATTAATATTTTTACTTTTTTCTATCTATACTATACAACTATTGTTAATATTAAACTGTAATGCATTTAACTTTTTTGATAATCCATTATTTCCATTATTTTATCGTTAATTTTTATTATTGTTTTATCTTTTTGTCTTTTTCTCCTACTTTTAGTCTTACTATTAGTAATGTGTTTATTTATTTATCAGTTTTTATGAGATCATAAAACACTAAACAGTATTGAAGAGATAAAAAGACCCATTCTAGTTGGACTTTACAAGCTATCTATAGTAATCTATTTGTCAAAATGATGTTTTTTCCTTAACACTACTATTATTTTAATTACCTTCACTCCTCACCAATGTTTTCTGTTTTAAAAAGCAATGATTAGAATTTTAATAAAACCTAAAGATAAAGTGAATTTATACATTTTCTTTGTTGAGAATTTAAAACAAAAATATTAAACACTATTGTTTATTGGAATGGTTGGCAAAATATCAGCTAATTGCCAATCGATTCAAATTTTATAAAATGGTAAATAATAAGGATTTCACATATTTTTATAATTTAATAAATTTTTATAAATTTATGAATAAAAACATTGTTTTCATATGTATTTCTTTATAATTTGGTAAATGATAAATAATGCATTGCATTAGTTTTTAGAATGTTACAAATATTAAATAATTCTTGTAGATAAACAAGCTAATAAATAGTGATTTTTACACTTCATTTTCTTGCAGGCACAAAGGTTAAACATGCTAAAAAGATTATGTAAGACCAAAAACTGTTAAGTTTATTTTACCGATGACAGGAGAGAAAAAATATACAGCCACTCCTCACTTAATGACCAGGTTCTATTCCAGTGATCTGGTCACTAAATGAGCTGATTTCTAAGTGAGAAGTTGTACCTGATTGCTATTTCAAGCATACTACATATTACCCATTGGAAATTTTATAATTAGCAGACTAAGATAAATTTCAAAATGGATGGTCACCAATCTTCTAGAAAAAAGGACAAATAATGTGAAAATCAGCATCCAGAGTGAAGTTAGTGTCACATCAGTTATTAGATGCATTACTGTTTAAAAAGTTCAAGTATTGTGAGCAATTTGTGGCTTTGTGTCAGACTAAGTAATGTTTCACAATTAAACTTATTCATGGTTTATGTTCAAGTCCTGCCAAAAGCACCTGTTCACTTCTTGTCTGATTACTGAAGTTAAGCAATTGGTTAGTACTTAGAAAGATAAACATTAGAAAGTGTCTATAGAAACATTGGGCATTGAAATTTATGAGCTTCAAGCAAAATTGAGTAAATAAAAAACAAAAAATAACATCTTTTGTTGATTTAAAATTGTTCAGCACAAAAGAAAATCTGGGCAAAATGCAACTCAATGGCACATTGGAATAGTGAAAGATGCTTTCCAGAAAATAAGCAAAGTATTAAGAAACAGGAAAATTTTGTTAGAAACAAAGAAAAGAGTGCTGAACTGCTGCATAGTATCTAATTTTTTACATTAGAAGAGACAAAGGTGCTTTCCAGAAATTAAGAATACTCATCAGAATGAAACAGTTGAACTTATTCTGGTATTTTTTATATTTCAGAAACTTCTAAAATATATGGTGCCACTGTTTTTGGTCTATGTAGCTGAATATTATATCAATCAAGCTTTGGTAAGTGATTCTGTCAATGACACAATTGTCTATTTTCCATTTCTAATATCATGAATTCCATCATAGAAAATAAATGCTAGCAGAGGTCAGTCTACCCTACTATTTAATCTATAGATGAGTGGTTGGCCAATAAATTCATGCTTTTTTTTTTTTTTTTTTTTAACCAAATACAAGTGCTATCTGGAACAGTCCTGCTGAGGCAAATTTTTCAACTTATAAGTGTGTCAGTTCAAATAAACAATCTGCTAGGAATTTTTTTATATAAATGTAATAAATATAGAACAAAATAATTGTTCTGCAGAGAAAATTATTTTGAAAAATAATCGGCATGCCATGCTACTGGACAGCCGAGCAAGAACACACTACTCCTGTAGAGTAAATAAAGGGTTCAGTTATAAATTCCCTGAAGGTTATCCAGGTTAATAGACATCTGAAGAAGGCAGAGGGCAATATTGTGATAATAGTAAGATGAAGATATTAGTTCATAATATAAATTTTATATAATATAAATTTTATTATATAACCATTTCACTCCAAGCAAGGTGGTAAAGCCACTAAGATGTAAGGGGTTACTGAAAATTTAATAAAAAAACAAGAAAATATTGAAGAGAGGCTATTAAAAGACTAAGATCCAAGGAGATTGAAGATAACAATTGATGATGCATCCAAATGTTTGAAGATTGTAGTTGATTGAAAAACAAGAAGCTAGAAGAGTTCCACAAGCAAGAAGTGCAAGAGAGGAAACCATTAGCATAGAACTTGTATTTAGGAATTTCAACAAAAAAAGGATGAGATCTAGCTGCCAATCTAGTACTGTGCTTAAAGTTGTGAAGTTGAGGTGTCAAAGAGTAAAAGTCATCACAAGAATTACCATGAAAGTATTTATAGAAATGGAACAGGGATGTAGGAAAGTGACTGAAGCCAAGATCCCAGGTACAATAAATCAATATATCATATGGTTTTTTATTGCTGTTTTGGTTTCTGACCCCCAAAAATAAAGAAGACAACAGATTTTTTTTAAAACACTGCTATTAAATAACATGAGAACAATTCACTATTTGATTTACCTCAGAACCAACTTAGAATGATCTGTTTAGCATGGAATCACATTGTATCTCAAAGATGTTCCTGAAAAATATGTCGACATACCTTGAAGGCCAAAGTGCTTTTGTATCATGTTTTTGTTGGGAAAATAATGTCCCATCACTGAATGAGATTAATATAGATGTAAATTGGCTTCACTCCTAGCCAATCATTGTGATTTTCTAAGTGTAGCTTAGATGTGGCACAAGGCCGAAAGTACAGAGCACCAACTACTCGGTCATAATTGATCTAGCAAGACAAGATTGCTAATTGTTTTAAGCTGCTTATATATTTATTGCCAGTGATGTCATTAGCTCCTGGTAGATGAGATGACTAATCATAAGATCTTGTTCTTGCAGTACTAGGATGCATAACAATCCAATATGGTGTACAATCAGGAACTGACCCATCCCGACTTATGTACAGAGCAAACAGTATAAAATGAAATAAGATTATTCTAGATTGTGTCATAACCACAAATCATTGTCGTAACCCAGAGTCTTACTGTATGCTGCTCATTTTAATTTTGATACAAGAAATTGAATTATTTCCATTATTTATGTGCGGACTATTATCCTCATGTTTGTTGTTGTTATCCCAATGTTTCAGCCATGGTGCCCTCCGCCCTATCAAGTGATTGTTGGTCCAGGTAACTTACAGCGAATTTTGAGCTCAGTCTTTTATTTAATCTACAGCATTGTTCTCGCACACCTACCCATGTCTAGTTCTCATTTTAGTACTGCTGAGTTGTTGCTCGCCCAGTTTCCACTGAGCCCAAGTACACACTACCCGGGCAAGGGATTGAACTCATAATTACTATGTCACTAAACTCACAAACCAACATCTTAATCCTCTAAGCCATGGAAATTGCATCTAAAGCCATTATGTTTATGTGATTATTGTGTGTTTTGTATCATCCTGCAGCACTTCTTCTAGTCTTCACTAATGAATTATCATATTATCTTTTCAGTTTGAATTATTATATTTTAATGGCTTTTGGCTGACTCCTTTTGATCAGTATCGTTGGTAAGCAGATTATTTCTTTTATTATAAATATTAGTATTTATTTCTTTTATTGGTCTTTTTTTTCTTTTCTATTTTTGCTTATAGCAACATCAAGTTGGACCACTGGTTCCCATACAATCACCCGATTTAAGCAATTTTGTGCCTATTCAGTACCTCAATGGGTGACCATATGTAAGCTTGAATGTGCAGGTGGTGTAATAAATAATGGTTTGGAATTGTTAATCGGAGTCTCAGTTCTAATTCCAGTTGGGGACAGTATATTCACTTAGATGTAAATACCATTGGGAAAGCTATAAATCCACTTCTTTTCACCCCAGCTATGGGTTAATTAATAAGATTTATATCACTAAATCATTATCTCCAAATAAAAACATTTTTACAATCTAAAAATAGTTTCTGGTTTTAAATAACTTGCAAAGGGTTGATAAACCATAAAAAATGATTTTTTTTTTTTTTGATTTTTTTTTTGTGACTATCCAGTGGAATTTTTAAAATTAGCAGACTAAGGTAGCACAGTGAGTCCCCCATATTCGTGGGGGTTAGAAACCAGAACCGGCCACAAATAGTTAGAATCCACGAATACTTGTAAAAGTACTTGTAAGTACCTATTGTTAAAACCCTATATGCCTTAAACTTTCATCCTAAACACTTTAGAAACATTTCAGACACTTTTAAAAACATTTTTGAAAAATAGTATTGGTAACCATACACTTAGCGTAAATTTTCTTTCATGCGTAAAATAACTGTTTTTAATTACGCATAGATCAATACAACCATTGAAAATACTGTATAAAATATGTGTAACAAGACATAAAAGTAGAACTGTGATGATGCCCCCAGACTTAGCATAATCCACTTTTAGACCCCAGCCGAGCCCCAAACAAAGAAAGACCAAGCACTATGCATGTTTTTTTTACAATGAAAATGTACAATTCTGACAATTTTTACCATAAAAATGGACCGTTATTTGTTTTAAATCACTTAAATAACAGGAAAATAATACAAGAATATTTTAAATACGCAAATCGAGAGAGTTCTCAGTGAATAATTTGTACATATGTTCTTCAGAAAAACACACGAATATTCGGGGTTTCCACGAATAACAAGTACATATGTTCTAAAGAAAAATCCATGAATGTGTGAAGCCATGAATAGGCAGGGGCTCACTATACTTTAAAATAGATGGACACCAGCCTTTCAGAAACTTCCTTTTTATTTTATTATTAACCTCTGTAATTATCAGACCAAGTTTTGGTAACTGGATGATCAAAGTCTCATCCAATAATCTCATCTGACAATGTTAGTAACATAGGCATTTTAAACAGTTTATAATATCACCTGATTTTTTTTTAATTGCCACTGAGATATAATGAAAATAAATCTATTAAACTGAAAATAGTTCTCACCTTCATATAGAAAGCAAAAAGCAGAGACATGTTGATTTAAACTGACAAAAAGGTAAAAAAAAGTTTAATTCCTCCAAGGAAATATAACAAAAAAGGTAAACCATATCAAAGAAAAAAATAAAAGAAACATGTCTACATATCTTCATGTTATATTTAAATTTTATATTGTTAAGAAATTATTTAAATATTTGCAGAAACAGTACACTGTATTTAAGATTGAAAATCTCAATAAATCTATCTATATACAAAATTATCTAACTTCCATTAGTTTATCCATCACACCCTCTGAAATAGCCATACATTGACCGATTAAAACCAAATTTTGGAGAGAAATGCAAACAGGTGAAGGGTACAAAGTACAGTTGGTTTTACTAACTTGGTACAATAAATTTTCATTAATTTTTTTGGAAAAATTTAAGTTTTATTATTTAACATACAAAACACATCCACTATTTTAAAAAGAATTTAATGATTAAAATAACAACTACTTATTTAATAAAAATTCAATATTGTTTTTTTGCATATCTTTTCTTTAAGTTTTTATATAAAAGAACCGGTTCACCCAGCATTTGCAAGAACTATAAACAAATTATAAGGCCAAATTCTTCAAAAAGTTGGAATTTGACTCCAGAAAGAAATATTTACATATGGCCTGTTGTATGTTGCATGCTCAAGAGTAAGAAATCCTAAGAATTTATACTTCGCTGTTAAAAAGAAAAAAAAGAAATTTTCTTAAAATATATTGTTTAGTATGAAGTCCTTTTAAAATTAAATTAAAGAAATTATTAAACTGCAAAATAAGCTTGTTTTTATTTTCCCAAACAAATCAGCTTATTAAATTTCATCATTTGGTTTGTGAAATTGAACAAAATCTAGAGTTTGTAAATCTCAAGAAAGAATGTTAGCAATAACTTCAACAATACTGAATACTGTGAGGATTTTAATACGCATCAGCTTGTTGCAAAAAAATTCTTGAGTTATTAAAAATACATAGAAAATTATAATCTGCCAAGTCTTTGCTTGCATTCTATTTGCTTTGTCTTGATAATCAGGTGCTTCCTAAATACCTGGAATTTCAAATTTACAAATCTCAAATTCAACACAAGTCAATAGTTGAAAGTTCCTTTCTCTGAGATAAGATAAATAATCTTAAATTGAGTTATTGATTCATTGTCAATGGCTTATCAACCCTTTCCAGGTTATTTAAAGCTAGAAAATATTTTTAGATTGTAAGAATTCTTTTTTGGAGATAATAATGGTTTAGTGATACAAGACTTACTAATTAAACTTATTTTAAGAAAATCAGAAATTATAATGTTTATTTAAAATATTTTGAACCAAGCTTAACTTAGCTTCTGCACCGAAAAGATGTAATTTGAAAATAAAACAAAGCAGCTCATAAACTTTCACGTCACTTGACAGGTGATGAATGACATATTGACAGATTTCGTGAGGCTAATTTGTTCTACAGAAGGAGAAAAGTGAAATAATTTACATTTAAGTGAACAAATTATTTACTTCGTTATTTTTAAGGAAAACTTTCAGCGCTCTAATTTTTTTTTTGTACTTAGCTTTCACCTTTATGTTTACGATGTTTTATGGAAAATATATTATAAAGAAATTAAAATAAGACTGTTAAGAGTGAGATTAAATTTCATATTTCATAAGAAAGGTATCTAATTAATTTATAGGTACCTTTCTTATGAAATTTTATCAAAGTGTACATAAAATACTATAATTTTATGTACATTTATTACATTTTACTGTGTTATTTGTATTTCCATTCATTTTATTATTAATTTTGATATTTCATTTATGGAAAATGTCATAACTGAGATTAATATAAAAATAAGATCATATAAATTTCATAAGATGATACTGATACTTGTAGGTACCCTTCTCAGTTGAAATTAAAAAATCAAATTAACTTCTCCACACGTGTTTCGCAAAAGTAAAGGCCTTAACAGCGGAGAACAATGCTTAACTCAAATAACGCAACTTAATTATATTCTGGTTGGTCTTCCGTATTTTATAATTACAGCTCGATTATAAGCACAAAATTACATTTCTTAATTACTGGGGATCTTCTGATTAGTCAAAATGATACAATTTACAACGCTCTAAAAAAAGATCTATCTCATAAGGACACTTATGAAAGCCTGTGCGGCTTTTAACTAATTTTATAATATTTTAACAACTTAAATGTAAAAATCTATTATAATTAAGAAATAAAAAATAATTGTATTAAAAATTCATTTTTCATCAAAAAACATTTTTCGCTTTCAGAAAATATTGTTCATATTCATAAAAACAACTAAAAGCAAATAAAAGCATTTGAAATTAAATAATATCTTTGTTTTATTGAGTTTTGTATGTTACAATTCAGAGCTGATTTTCAGGTAGTGCGGATCCAATTAAAAAAAAATGTATGATTTGCATTACTCAAAGCCTTGTGCTTTTAATTATTGTAATCACTAAACCCAATGCAATCAAATTTCTAGCGTTTTCATAAAATTAGTTATGGGGGCGGTAATAAATATAAAAAAAAGTATTTCTGCCATAACTTTAATAAAAAAAACATATTTATAATAATTTTGATCATCTGTGAATAGTTCTTGAAAGTTTCATTAATATCCGACAATTATTTTTATTTTTGCAAGATTTTCAAAATTAATGTGTGCCATACCAAAAAAACGTGCTAAAAATTGTCTGTTATTTTACTAGTTCCGGTGATACAAAGAAAAACAAGGTTTTTTAATCAAAATTTAGAATGTTCTAAAAAGAAGGAAAAATTTTTTTAAATAATTAAAAAAAACTTTGGTCTTTCCTCTTAATAATAACATAAGCATTTAGACAATAAAATTTTGTTTTCGGCAAGGTTGGCATCTTATTCATCAAGCTATGCTCTTTTTTTAGCGATTTCGTAGAGGTACCTATTAAATTCATTCAATGTCAAATGAGGCAATGGTTTCATAATCAGGTTTTTCATTTTTTAGAATTTGAATTACTTCAAGAGTTGATTTTATGCTGTATTTACTGGGGATGTATGGTGTGATACGTTGTTTTATAATTTTTGTTAATTGATACACAGAAGTGGAAATTTGAGATATAATATGACACAAAGGATAGTTTTGTTTGTATGTTTTTATAGTGCCGTATATGTAGCCAGGCCTACAATTGCCCACAAAAACCTTATAATGAAAACATAGCCTTACATGACGTCAAAAATTTGTTCACTGATGTCCCAGTTAGTGAAACTATTAATATTATTCTTAGAAACATATACAATAATCCATCTCTACCTCCACTTATCTAGATATCTTGGTCATAGGGTTGGTGTTAGTGATGTGGATTTTAATTTCATTTCTTCAAAGTATTACATGTATATGTTTGCTATTACAGGTGATAATGGTAATCCCATTTCTCAGCCTTCATCCTGTCGATATATGTCTGATCTCATTCCAAAGTTGTTGTTTGTGTACTGAAAATCAGTATCTCCATCTGGTTATCTATTGGAAACAATGTTGGATTACTTAAAATTACTATCTATCCATATATATATATATATATATATATATATATAAAGAAGAGGTTATAGCAGTTCCATCAAGAGAAAAGTGTGTATATTAAAAAGAAGAAAGACTGCAAACGTTTTTGGTTGTAATGTGTATTTTTTTTTAAAATATTATATGTTATTACATACCAACAAACAAGTAATCACTATAAAGATGCATATTTGTTTCAATGCCTAATATAAGCATGTCATCAGGTGGGGAACAAAGATGGTAATAAACATTTTTATTTTAAAATGCTCCTTTTTTAAATAAAATCCTATATTTTGAAATCCACATTACAACCAAAAATGTTTGCGGTCTCTCTCTTCTTTTTAATATATATATATATATATATATATATTCAAATTATAATATAAATATAATGTCAAATTTCATTTTCTTTTATCAGGTTACAAGTTGACTACCAGATTGGTGTGTTTATAGCAAGGTCCTCTGTGAATTTATATCACATCAAAAAGCTTTGGATACCTGCTTTCTTACAAGTGAGTCTGCTTTTTAAAATACTATATATTTTCAGAATGTAACCAATCATGGCTATCCACAGGCTCCTTACTTTTTTTATTATCTGTGAATTGCTATGACTTCTTGGGAAAGATAGTGTAGTAGTTTACCATTACCTTCTCTAAGGTTTTGAATACAGAGTAGTCATCTATGCCATGTCCCTTCAGGATGTAGGTGATCAGTGGCTCTCCACACTTTCCTTTTTCTTTATTAACTGTGAATTGCCATGACTTCTTGGGAAAGACAGTGGAGTTGTTTCCCTTTGCCTTCTCCATAGTTTTGAATTCAGAGTAGTCATCTATGCCATGTCCCTTCAGGATGTAGGTGATCATGGCTCTCCACAGATTCCTTTTTCTTTATTATCCGTGAATTGCCATGACTTCTTGGGAAAGAGAGTGGAGTGGTTTCTCTTTGACTTCTCCATGGTTTTGAATTCAGAGTAGTCAACTATGCAATGTCCCTTCAGGATGTAGGTGATCATGGCTCTCCACAGATTCCTTTTTCTTTATTATCCGTGAATTGCCATGACTTCTTGGAAAAGATAGTGGAGTGGTTTCTCTTTGCCTTCTCCATGGTTTTGAATTCAGAGTAGTCAACTATGCCATGTCCCTTCAGGATGTAGGTGATCATGGCTCTCCACACTTTTCTTTTTCTTTATTAACTGTGAATTGGCATGACTACTTAGGAAAGATAGTAGAGTAGTTTACCATTACCTTCTCTAAGGTTTTGAATTCAGAGTTGTCTTTCTCCTAGACTGGCTGCTACTCCAGGTTAGAGAATCTTGTTTATTCTGCTAATTGACCTATAGCTGAAGAGGGAAGAATTGGATTCATGCATTTCTCAAAGGTATTAGTGCAAAACTAAACAGATTTGGCTAGTATTTAATTTAGTGACCTTAACTCTTAAGAAAAGAAATCAGCAAAAAGTAGTTTTGTATCACCATTGGTTCCTGTAGACTTCCTGTGGGTTGAATGAAGGGAATTTCTGTTGCAGGATTTTTTGGCATTTGTTTTTTAGTGTGGTGCCAGGTTCATACCTTTTTTTTTTCTTCAATCACTTCACCTTATGCAAAGACGCAAGGGATTACTAAAAGTAAAAGAAACTGAAAAAGTTGTTCAGACAGAAGATGAAATTAATGTTGCATTTCAGTTTTTGAACATCATAGTTGGCAAATAAGAAACCAGAAGAGAGTTCCACAGTTGATAATTGTGAGAGAAGAAATTATTAGCATAAAATTTTATGTGTGTGGCATCCATCAGCCTCAAGAAACCTTGAATTTATGCCCTAAGACTTATGCCTCACCTGCTGATAGCAGTGCAGCATGGCTGTACAGGCTCACACTGGAGTGACAGTCTCAGTTGCAACAAATACATGTGAAGATGCTCTCCCCCAATGTTGCCTTGTTTTCTTTCCACCGAGCATGCTTCTCCCCAGCAGCAAGCCTTTATTTTTCCTCACCTCACTCCAGCCTTCAGTGTAAATCGTGTCTTCAATGAGAGTGATTGTTGCTTCCCATGTTTTGCTGTGAGGTGACACAGGCCAGGGCAGAGTTAAAACATAGAACTTACTCTTAGCAAGTTCAAGAGTAAAATGATGAGATCTAGCTGCCAATCTAGTACTGCACTTAAATGAAGTTAAAGTACAAAAGAGGAAAGCTCATCAGAAAAGTTGCCATTAAATTTTTTATAGAAACTGCACAGGGAAGCTATGTTACAGTAATAGGAAAGTGATTTAAGCCGAGATACCAAGTTAGAACTGATAACATTGCAGATTCTTTCATTTCTTTCATGGATTTTGTTAAGAATTTCTAGATGGCAGAAGCACCAGTTCAGAAGTGGCAGCAATATTTAATGCATGGATAAATGGTAAAACATCCTTTTTTCCCTTTATCTAGGCTGAGAATTCTTTTACTTTTTTGCTGTTTTTACTTTTTTGCTTTTTTTTTTACTTTTTTGCTTTATGTTGTGTTTTTTCTGCCTAAGTAATATCTATCTAACTATCTTAATTGGTTTGCCTTTTACATGTTTAATGGGCTTCAACTAATCTTGTTATTAACCTATAATTCAATGGTTCTTAACCAGGTGTGCAATATCAGTTCCTAAGTGTTGCGAGGATACTGAATCATTATAGTTAGTTTATTAAGGAAACTCTAGTGTAGCATTCAGCAATCTGACATAAAAGTTTACATTGTAGAAATTTTACTGATTGCTACCATCGTAATATTCATAATTTTATATTTTGCTAATATGAATCTGGGTTTTCATAATGCATTATTTTGTTGTCAGTTATGTGAATAAAGATTAAAGAACCACAATGGTTTTGTTATTTATACATGAGATCAATATTATTTTTTTCAATTCTGGAAGTGGGTGCAAGAACTAGTTGATAATTTGAAAGGGGTACAAACAATGAAAAAGATTAAGAATCACTGCTATAGCTGGAAGGGGAAGTGTATTCCTTCTTTTCCCGAAGGCAGTACTGCAAAGTAAATGGTTTTGCCAAAACTCAATAGGTAATCATCATTAATTATTGTAGATATTAACCCTATCACAGGCAGGTTATTTTGGAATTGTGAAGGTGGGGCTGTTTTTACCTGTCAATTTTCAAATGCCTTAGGACTCCAAATAATGACTTAAATTGTTTGAAACTTTGCAGGATTATTCTTTTACCATTTATCTTCAATTTAAAATTTTTATTATGTCTGGAACTGGTGATGTCATCAAAAGTGAGCATTTGAAATGTAAATAAACCAAATGCTTTAATGCAACATCTTCATTTACAATGCAAAGTATTCATGCCAAATGTACTTTGAAATGAAAAGTATTCATGCCAAATGTACTTTGAAATGCAAAGTATTCATGCCAAATGTACTTTGAAATGCAAAGTATTCATGCCAAATGTACTTTGAAATGCAAAGTATTCATACCAAATATACTTTGAAATACTTGTGTACTTATGTCATAAAGTACCTGTATCGAAAGTCAATGTAAGACGATATGTAATTGTCTAAAAATGACAAAAAACACATGAGCAAACTATATGCTGATGTCAGCAATTATGTAATGAAAGTAGGATTCATTATATTCACAATTGACTTTAGAATAACACAACAGAATTTGTTCATGATTGTCTATTTTCAAATCAATACCTCAACCAAAAAAGGATCAGTAGCAACTAAACTTTGTGTGCTGGCAAAAGAGCCACCCACACCTGCTTGGGATAGGGTTAATTATATTACCTTTCAAATTAGAAATAATAATTTTAGTAGTAATAGGTGTTGTGACGAAAGAAATGACATACCCCGGAGATCGAGACAAGCACTCATAAATTGCGCCTAAGAGTGGCCATATTTTCTTTTCAGCACTTTGCACGCAAGACACATCCATGCTCGTTTCGATCTCCAGGGTAAGTCATTTCTTTCGTCACAACACCTATTACTACTACACTCCCCCCATGATACAACTGGAGGGGGGGTCTCGTGCATCGTGTGCTTCTTCGCATTTATTTTTTTTGTTACAATAATTTTTTCTTTTTTTTTTTTCCAAATCTTCTCTTGCAGTTTGGTGTGCTTGCTTTATTACAGTGCCAAGTTCTGTATCATTTCTTGCCTAGTTTCTGGGTTGTACTTGGTATTGTGATATTTGAAGGACTTCAAGGAGGCCTGGCTTATGTGAACACATTTTATCGGCTGTCTTCAGAGGTAAGCAATTCTGAACCAAGGAATGATTTTCCATGACCACTTATACAAGCAAAAGCAGTTAGCTTCATTTTTCATTTGTTCTATGAGGTATAGTAAGGGTGGCAAAAATTTTTGGCTTAAACCACAAGGCCTTCTAAAAAAAACTGTTTGGTAATTTGGTCAGATTATGGGAAATGGATCAAACTGAGAACTTTTCAGCTCCCCTTCACATCATTTAATAATAGGCATTTTTTTCTTTTTTTAAATCTATTTAGACATTACAATAACTTACTTACCTCCCTTGATATTTGCACACTAGCCTACATGATAAAATTTTAAATTGTACAGTATATAACCTTAGTGTTTTTTGCATAAGACATTTAATTTTCAGATAAACAACAATTTTGTCTTAAAAAAATGATGAACAGAACAATTTTTTGTCTTAGAAAAATGAGGAACACAACCCTTTTTTGTCTTAGAAAAATCAAGACCCTGATGACAATATTGTGCTAATGTTGAAAGTACTCAGAATAAAATGAATATGTGTCAACATGGTAATTTTCTTCCTTTCTTTAATAAGGATACTAAGAAACTTGTCCATAATTATGAGAGGACCCTATTAAAAATAAGTAGACAAAACTTGTCTAAATTATTTAATGAGATATATATATTTATTTATTTGTTTGTTTAATGCCACATCAACTCCCATTTTAACAGATATATTTACCAAAATTAAACAAAAAATATCTTGAAATACTAAAGAGTAAATTTATTCAGTAAAATCACTATTGGCTTCAATCATGGCCTCCAGGCGACTTCGGAATCTCCTGCAACTCTTTTGGATGGTCTCATTGTTTAAGTCGGTGAATGCTGCCAAAATCCTTGCCTTCAGTTCATCCTTGGTATTTACAAGGAGTTTTGTTGGTCTCTTGCTGAACTGCAGCCTGCACATTAATCAAGAGGGTTGCAGTCTGGAGAGTTAGATGGCCAGATGTAAGGGGTGATGTGGTTGCAGAAATTGTCTGACAGTCATGACTGGGTTTTCCTGCAAACACACTGAAATGTTTGTATTGGAGCTTCTAGCACAAATGCCAAGCAGCACAGCTTGCTGTTTCCAAATTTCTGGTGGAGTGAATTGCATCATGGTACTCTTTTTCTCACAGATGGTGTCCAACTGACCCTACTATATTGTGCAGTTGACAAAAGCGAGCAATGCATGTGCGCAAAATTAAAAATATAAAATGGCAACAATTTACCCATCTCACCCAGTATATAGACTGTGGTCTAAGTAGTCAATAATGTTTCTTTTTTTCTTTTAATTATCTGATCACCAGACAATACATAGTGGGCTCACACAATAGTAAAGCAGATATTTCTGATTTTTTAGCCTCTGAATGGTTTTCAGCTAAATTATAGGATTGTATCAATGCTATTTGTACTTTTGAGGAAGCCTAAACAAAAACTTTCACACTATTATTTAAAAAATAGGGGCTTAGGTCTAGAAATACTGGTTTGCATTGAAGAACTAAGATCCCTAAAAGAGCTTAAATTTTGCATTTACCCAGTTTTTGGCTTCTTTTGGGGGATTCTCAGCACCAAAAACATGGAGGTGGTTTAGATCATGTTTTTCTGATAGATACAATGAAATCTATGTCAAAAACTTGTATTTGATGCCTGGCAGATAGTGCCAAAAGCAGGTAACAATCAATCTAATGTATGAAAAGATAAGAGTAAATTTCAAATATTTTCCCAGGAACAATTTTCATGGATTTGTTTAATATATCCTATCAGTGATAAGGCAGCTTACATAAATGGCTAGTAAATAATTTGCAATGCATTCCTATAGTAAAATCATTTCCAATGAATTTCTACCTATGCTTTTAGTATTTGCTATGTCACTATATATGTAATCATTAGAAGGAATGAAAGTTTGGATGGATTTGTTTAATAAATCCTATCAGTGATAAGACAGCTTACATAAATGGCTAGTAAATAATTTGCAATGCATTCCTATAGTAAAATCATTTGCAATGAATTTCTATCTATGATTTTAGTATTTGCTATGTCACTATATATGTAATCATTAGAGGGATTGAAAGTTTGGATGAATTTGTTTAATAAATCTTATTAATGATAAGACAGCTTACATAAATGGAATATAAATAATTTACAATGCATTCCTATAGTAAAATCATTTCCAATGAATTAGCATTTGATTTGTTACTATAAACTTTAACATATTTTATCAAACCTACTTATGATGTCATAAAATTACATATAGAGCAACAAATGGATACTGAAAAATGCTCAGGTGGACACACTTCCTAAAATCTGAAATCCTAAAATCAGAGTAAACATAAGAATTTTTTTAATTCTTTTTTGATATAGCCCAGAACTTTTCAGTACCCCATTGTAGTTAACTAATAATTACTTATAATTTACCAATAAATATTTATTTTTGGAGGGATAAATCCATTGTGTAACAAAACAGTCTTATCAAAATTTATTTGGTTACAGTAATACAATCTCAAAATCAAATGTTATGATCTAGCAGGTTATTGGGATACCAGGATAGGTAATTTCTGGGACAACATAGGTTACTTGATGGTTCTCATTTCTTTTACATGTGCAACAGATTATACTGGCTTACATTATACTGACAGCAGAGAGTAATCCCTGATCAGATTTATTGGGACAGATAGATTCATGCCTTTTTCCAAGTGTTTTTGTACAAAGTGAACACAAAACACCTCAGCTAGAATTTGAACTCTATTGATTCCATTATTTTTGTGACAGCACTGCCTTAGAAAATGACAAAAAGCAAACCAAATAACTTTTACATTAACCAGATTATTGAGTTAGTCATATTGAAAGATATCAAGCTTTCCAGAGGTACAGCTTAAGGGAGAAAATTGACCATGGACAATAATTCAGTTTGTGAAACTATGGCTATAATTCACCTTATACTTTCACTAGAACATGACACACAATGTAGAGAAAGGTGTCTCTTAATTTTTCTTTGTGTCAACTGAGAAAGATCTCCTAATTTTAAAACAGGAAACAATCTTAGCCCCAGGTGGGTGTGGTGCTGCTACTCTTTGTATCTCCTCTTGGATCTCTCAACTTGTCTGCCCAAAGAGCATTCTTTCTTTGTTCTGTCAGTGTTAATTTTGGCTTCTCATTGATCAGGGGTCAGGAGAAGAAATCAGTCTCTAGCATCATCATTCCATCCAGTAGCTTGTAACAAGTAAAAGATTTCAGCAAACTTGGACCTTCATACCTCTAAAAAAAAAAAACAGTGTCAAAAGAGCGGTTTTTCCCTTGAAACTGCTATCATTGTAATGATCTTCACTTCTTCGCAATGTTTTTTTTTAAAAAGCAATGATTTGAATTGTAATAAAACCTAAATATATGATGAAAATGAATTTATACAGTTATTTTTGTTCTTGAGAATTTACAACAAAAATATTAAACACTATTTATTTATTAGATTGTTTATTTACAAGAATAATTTTATAACATTCTAAAAAATAATAGAATTGTATTAAAAGTAATGCAATATTTATCTTTTACCAATTCATAAAAAATAAATGTGAAAACAACTTTTTTATTCATAAATTTATAAACATTTACTAAATTATTAAAATAAATGAATCAACTATAAGGAAATCTTTATTATTTACGATTTTATAAAGTTTGAATCAATTTGCAATTAGCTGATGTTTTGCTAACCATTCCAATAAACAATATAATAAATAAATAGTGTAAGTAAACAATCTAATATTTTTGTTGTAAATTCTCAAGAACAAAAAAATGTATAGCGGTTGATTCTGTTGGTTGGTAGGCCTGTTCTATGGATTGAGGCCACGGTGATGACTGCAAAGGGAATGCCTTGTAACAAATTGGGTATGCCAAGGTGACAGCAGTGGGATGATGTTGGATTGGCATGGTTGGTAGGCCTGTTTTATGGATTGGGGCTACAGCTATGACTGCAAAGGGAATGCCTTGTAATAAATCACATATGCTGAGATGATAGTGGGTTTCTAAAGTGACGAGGTCAAGATGTTATCATGTCAAAGCTGGATAGCTGAGGTGGTTAGTGAAGCCTTTGAGCGGTCATGTTGAGAGCAGGCTCAACTGCCGATCATCATCAGAGACATGCTTTTAAACAGTTCTGGTAGTCCCCAAGGGCATCTCCTTTTCTGGTGAGGACATTTGGGATTGGCCGGTGTTGCTTTCATTGCAGGGGCTTGCTTCACTGACTGGACATGATGCATGGAGCCTATGTGCAGAGAACGACTTTTTTATTTTGTTCTCTGCCTTCATGGAATTCACATCCAAATGGCTTACAGAATGAATCAGAAAGAGATCTAATTGCTACAGAGTATAACACAAGGCTTCATCTAATCAAAAATGAAGATGAAAGTAAATACTTGTCAAAAATTAATAATAATGGCTGACAATGCTGCATCTAATAAAAAATGAAGATGAAAATAAATACTAATCAAAAATGAATATTTGACAATGGCTCATCTAATAGGGAAATAAAATAAAAACAATACTGCTTCTACTTATACTACTAGTTTAAAGGCAAAAACAAATATGGCACCAAAAGAGGCCATAGAATGGAGTGATAACTTAAATTCTAGATTTGATTTTTCTGTAAAACTGTTAAATTCTTGTGCCTAAGGTGTTATAGCAATTGGGTATTAAGCAAATTTTCCTGAGGTAAATGAATGCTCATTCAAATTGTATTGAGAGCTTTTCCTTAATTTCCAATCATATACTATATGTTTATTGTCATCAATTGATAGCCTGAGTAAATTTGAAATAAAAAAAAAATATAATGACTCATTAATATTTTTCTCTTTTTTCTGCAGATTGCATCAGAATATCTTGAATTCAGTATGGGAGTGACATCAGTTGCAGACTCATCTGGCATTGTTATTGCTGGCCTCCTCTCGATTCCTGCTCATAATAAACTATGTGACATGCATATTCATTTATGAAATTTTAATCACAAGTAACTAATATTTTTAAGAACTTTTAAAAGTTAAAAATCAAGTGATATATATATATAAAATTTATTTTTTTAACCTTTTTTTATTTCATCCCTTATTGCCAATATGTGGTTTTTGTTTGTTTTGTTTTTTTCTTTTTAAGCATTTTCAGTGTCAGCTAAACAAAAAAAAAAAACATTATCTAAACAAATTTTAACACAAACAGAAATCCTGTCTGAATTTCTGGGATGAGGAGTTATCATTATTTACCCTCTTTTCATTTGGACTATTTTCCTCATCTTTGTTGTTGTTATCACAACATTTCAGCTATAGTGCCCTCCGGCTTTCATCAGTTGTATATTCTGAACTGAACCCTTTAATAAACAGGGGGTAGACTGTTCTTGTTTCCCTGCTCATGTCTAGTGATATCTTGTCTCGTTCTTATTTTTAGTACTGCTTAGTTATTGTTCAACTCATTTCTACAGAATCCAAGTACACGCTGCCCAACACCAGGGATTAAATTCACAATTACTATGTCACCAAATTCTCAAGCCAACATTTTAATACATTAGGCTACAATGCAATAGCCTAGTAGATTAAAGCATTGGTTCGTGACAAGATATCCCAAGACATGAGCAATGGAATAAGAACAGTCTATCTCTGTAGATTTAATAAAAAGTTAATTTCAGAATTCCCTGTAGGTTACCCCAGACTGATATACGCCTGATGAAGGCTAGATGTCATAATGGCTGAAACGTGATAACAACAAAGTTGAGGACAATATTCTGACTAAAAAATTTAAAAAACAAATTCTTTTAGAAAGTTAGGGATTAAATTTGTCTTTTTTTTTCTTCTTTTTTTTTTTTAGCCTAGAAACATTTTGCTAAACATGTCTGAGTTTGTTAGTAGACTTATGGAAGTCAAAATGTGTGTTTATATGTATTATGTGTGTGTTACATGTTTATATGTATTATATGTGGAGTGTGTGTTGATATGTAAACAAAGAAAATAGAAGCACACACCAACTTGGGTAGTTAAAATAATAGTAGTATCAATGGAAAATCCATCCTTTTGACACTCTAATTTTTTTTTTGTAGACACAAATGTCCAAGTTTGCCAAAATTATTTCTTTATTTTCCTACTATGACCATTATCATAACAATAACAAAGATTATATGTCACACAAAAAAAACGGTCAATATCTGTATTTCTGGAGAATAATGCTTTTATAATTAAATTTTATTTTAATTTCGTATCTACTCCATAGGGGTATTTTATTTCATTAATAATTTTCAATAAAAAGATTTTTATTTTATCTGAAACTGATTACTTAATGGAATATATTCTAATATGTTCACTATAATTTGAATCTGCCTAATTTGTTCATTTTACCAAAACTTAATTTATAGAGGTTTTTAAAGTTTTTCTTTATTTTGTCTGAAACTGATTAATAGAATATATTCCAATAATATGTTCATTGTAATTTGAATGTCTAATTTGCTCATTTTACCAAAACTTCATTTATAGAGGTTTTTAAAATATCTTCTCAAATATTACAGTAACAACATTAAGAATACAAAGGAATTGAAATTGTCTGAACAAATTTTCAAATATTAATGACACTTCTCAAAGTTATAAACCATGTCCTGTGTAACTGAATGGCAGAATGGAAAAAATCTAATGTGATGCATTTCATCCTTCAAAAGGACTTCTTCAGACTAATTATGTAGAGGGAGGTGAACAAAAATATAATCAAGACATTATTTAAAACATCAGTCTCAAGATACAACTAGACACATCAGATACCAGAAATTTAAATTTCAAGTTAAAAATTACTGTGTCATCAGTGTCTCTCTTGATAATTCTCTTATAATTATTATCTTCAAAGATTTGCTAAAAAATGAGCATACCTGATGAAAAAATGCCCAAAACAGTTTTATCATCAAAATTTTTGTTATTATTAAGAAAAAAGACCAAAGGATTTTTTGATTATTTAATCATATTTTTTTTTATCCTTTTTAGAACCTTCAAAATTTTGGTTAAAAATTCTGTTTTTGTTGTGTCAGCAGGTGACCATAAATTAGTATGTGAAATTTTAGCATCTTTTTGTGGTGCAGAACACACTGATTTGGAAATTCTTGTAAAATATCAGATAATTCTTAGGTTTTAATGAAACTTTCACAAATTAATGAAATTATTTTTGAAGCATTTCTTTTTTAGAAAATCTTGGTAAAAATATTTTTTTGTTTACATCTGTTAACCCCCACTTATTTAAATTCTTTTCTGTAATGTTTATATTAGTTATAAGGACAAGTCCTTGGAGAATTTAAATCATCAAATCTTTTTGGTCAAACAGAACCTTCAATTACAGAAAATCTGCTCTGAATTCTAAAATAAAAAATGCAATAAAATTAAAACATTATTTAATTAGAAAAGCTTTTAATTGCTTATAGACACTATTGTCTTAAGAAAAAAATTTTTTGATGAATAATGAATTTCTACAAGAATTATTTTCATTTTTTTTAAATTTTAATTAGAATAATTTATCAACTTTTAATTTTTTTTAAATTCTGTATTAATTTTTAGCAGTCAAGAGATATTGTTATTAAGTTAAGACTATTTACTAATAAATGTAAAAGCTCAGTACCATTCAACAACTCCCAATATTTTAAAAAGAATTTTGAATTTATTTTATATGAGTATAAACGTATCGAATTTTGTAAATACACTTCCCCAAAAATATCATCAGAAAATAAGAGTTGTAACTTTAGTGAAGTTAAAATATATTGGTAATTTTCTAACATTTTCTTAACAAACATTTTCTCAACAAACATCTTCATAAGCCAAAGTACCTAAAATTCAATAAAATATTAGATTGCTTAGAATATTTTCTTAAATTTTTAAGATTACTTGAGAATTAAAAATATATATATATATATAAAATGGGTGTTCCTGTTATAATTGTCAAATAATTGTTGGCCTTAGAAAAAATTGTCCTCTTTAGAAAAAATTCCCAAAAGTTATAAAAATACCCATTTCAGTGTTAAAAATGCATTTCTGCAATACTTTAAACTTAAATAATATTTGTTTCAAATCAGATTAATAAAGCTTTAAATCAGCTAATTTTCCTCAAATAAAGTTTCAGAAAAGTATATTTTATTTTTGAAAAATTTTAAATATAAAGAATTATGTTGTATTGACAGATTTGTCAATATGAAAAATGTTAACATTTTTACTGAAAATAAAAAAAACCCATTCTAATCAATTTGAATTCAGTTTGAAATGCAGTAAAATATTTTGCTAATTGGAAATGTTAAATCTAAGCTATTAGCTTGAAATTAAAACTAAAATAAAACTTCAAGAAAGATTTTTCATTTTTAAAAAATGCATTTTAAACATTAGGTATCACTTTTCCTGGGAGGTACGTAATTATAACCAACATTTGTTTATATTCTCATTCCCCACCCCAAATAAATATGATTCCATCAGTAAAAACATTATTTGGCCTAAAGAAGTCCTTTTGAAGGACATAATATATCATATGAATAATCTGCAATGTTATTGGAACTGACCTGTCATCTCAGCTTCAGTCACTTTTTCACCACCATAATATAGCTTCCATGTGCCTTTTCTATAAATATTTTCATAATTGTTCTGATGAGCTTTCATGTTTGGTAAGTTATTTTTTCATTTTGTCATTCAATTACTCACCATAAGTCTGATAAATAAAATTTATATATCATCTCATTATATATCAATAGAAAAATATCATCCAAGATATGTGCAAACTTCTTTTTGTTACTTTTGTTGTTATCACATTACAGTTAATCTATTCTGTGATATTCTTCAGGCATGAAAGTGAATGTTATTGCTCTTTCTAGTATTAATGGTTTCCTTCCTAACCTTTTGTTTGAAGTAGTATGGAACATCAATACCTTGATTATGTCATTATTTTCTCCAAGTTACGTGTGATATCCATTTTAGTTATTGATGCAGTTTTTTTTGTTTGGTATAATTTTTTATCTGTGATTCTGTATTGCCAATCACAACATTCAAAGAATCCTTGTTAGGACCTACATGCAATAAGACCAACAATGGATTTCTCAAGTCCAGTAGCTCTTTCCCATATTAATCTAGTTTTCCTTCCTTCCTTCCTTCCTTGCCTTTTGTTTGAGACTTCAATATCTTGATTATATTATTATTTTCTCTTTAACTTACATGTGATATCCATTTTAGTTGTTACTGCTGTTAAAAGTCCTCAAATGATGTGGTTTCTGTTATTTGGTACAATATTTTGTTTGTGATTCTGTAACACTAATGTAAAACAAATGTTTATATGTAATTATTTGATTGACAAACAAATATTGATTTTTAGGCAAACTTGAACCTTCATGCCTGCAATTTTGTTTACAAGAATAATTTTATATTTACAACATGCTAAAAAAACAATACAATTGCACTAAAAGTAATGAAATGCAATATTTATCATTTACCAATTTTTAAAAAAATAAATATGAAAAAAATTTTATTCATAAATTTATAAATATTCACTAAATTATTAAAATATTTGAACCAACTATAAGGAAATCCTTGTTATTTACCATTTTATAAAGTTCAAATTGATTGGCAATTAGCCGATGTTTTGCTAACCATTCCAATAAACAAGCTGAGATAAACAAATAATGTTTATTACTTTTGTTGTCAATTCCCAAGAACAAAGCAAATGTATAAATTAATTTTCATCATATGTTTTATTAAAATTCTAATCATCGCTTTTTAAAACGATGAACATTGCCGAGGAGTGAAGGTAGTTAAAATAATATCAGTGTCAATGGAAAACCCATCCTTTTTGGAAAACTGCCTTTTGCAGACACAATGGTCCAAGTTTGCTGATTTTTGTTCATAATATTTCTTTTGAGGATGATGTATATATTGAAATATTAATGAAATCGATCATGTTTTCTTGTTTATCAATCAAATATTGATAAACAAGTATGTTTTTCAGAGCT